GCGTGCGGCGTACACACAACCTTAACTAGGCAAAGTGCCCCAGGCTTTGACAACGAGGTTCGCCTCGTTGCCTCCATGCGCGAAGAAACGCAAGATGAAGTGGACAGTCAGTGGGTGGATGGGGTGCGAGACACTGTCCCATGCTAAGGGGCGTCATACTTTTCATGTCCGACAGATCTGAAAGAGGATATGTGGCTTCGCAACAGTCATAGTTCAGCTATCATTGCGGGGTCACCTAAGTGACACACGACTTTGAATTCACAAGCAGCCTTTCGGCGCTTTCCTTCTCTTACCTTTCAGCAGGGGGCTGGAGTGTGCATTAGATGTCTTCAGCCAACAAAGACTCATTTGTTGCACTGTGATATATCGCCGGGGCGCTGGAGTTATGTGCCTGCTATATGGTTGCCAGCGTTCCAATTACCGTGCAATCGTAGAGATGGAAGGGTGTTTAGTTCTTCTAGGTCGGCAGTCACGCCTTCGCTTCAACTCTTCGGTGTCACCTTGGAGGTTGAACCTCTGGACCTCTGACCATTTGGGCCCTCGGAACTTCAGAGCGTTTTGGGTCTCTTGGGCTTTTCTATTTTTGGGCCTCGTGGCATGCACCTGCGCCTGCGCCCTTAGGTTTCCTGTTCACTTAGACTCTGACCTCTTCGAGTGGCAATCGCATGTTGTACGAACTCTTATCTCGAGTGTGTGTCCAAAGCTGGCAGGTTGTGGGTGTTTCCGTCCACCCCTATGTGATTTTGTGCAAGCATGCATGCTGTTTCTTCGGTAGTTGACATCAGTTCGACCCATCGATTCCTGACGAAAGGTAAAGAACCCACATCCCTTGTCACATCAATGTTTCTAAACAAGAAAACATGTGAAACAACTCTGTCTGGTTGCTTTCAGCTCTCTTTGGCTCACGAACTCTGGTGCAGGAACTGAATGACACGGAAACATCGTGCTTCTTGAGGAATGATTGTGGTCGGGCATTCTGGCTGCACAATGATTGTGGTGGGAATGGTGTACAACGCGCCCGGGGCGCTGGTTTGCATCAGGTAGTTGCGCGCTATGTCTATGTTGGTTTATGTTTTTTAGTTGATGAGGCTTTTGTGAGAGCGTTGTCCATGTTGAAGTTTGACACATTAATTTGGACCAGTCAAGTGCGCTGCTCTTCTGAGGTCTTCAAAAAGTGGGCTATCCAGGTGCATGAGGTCGCAGTCAAGTTTGCTTATCATGGCGTTCGGGCAAATGAAACTGTTTCGGAATCCAAGACGCAGCAATGTAGCTCTTTCGACCAATTGTGCAATATATAGACACCTCAAACTCGGTGGCCAACAATTTCCGATAGGCGTGGAGTTTTTGAAGAAACACTCGCGTATTCAGTTCATGTTTGTTCCTTCGCTGTCGTATGCTCCCCCCCGCTCCAAGGGACAGCCGCAGCAGCCGCAACACCAACAACACCAAGAAATGGCAACAGCAACAGCAAGGACAAGAACAATAAAGAACAAACGCATTGATAAATAAACACTAACGCAAGAACAAGGTCAGAACAGTGAGAAGCAACAACACAGCGGGAAAAGCACCGCAACGGCGAAATTGGATGGAATCTGGAGTTCAAAAGGCTTAGCTCCAGATTCCATCCAATTTTTACTAGTGGTGCCTGCCACCTTTATGTGGATATAAGGTCAACCCTTCCTTTCCTTTGCCCGTGTTTTGGAAGAGTTGTGATTTGGATTTTGTCTGTTTTTGCTTGTCAGCTTCAATGCTTCAGGGCTTGACTTCAGGGTGGGTCCACTGGTGCTGTGACAGCAATGAGTTGCTGTATTTTTGGAGTTTGGCTATGTTACGTTTGCTGCTCTAGGGAATGAACTCTGCAGGTGATATGACTATGGTAGGTGCGCTTGGCAGCTCGCTTTTAGATTTCAGCTGTTACCATGCGGCTTCTCAGGGAAGAAAAGCTGGAGGTAATCTGATTGTGGTACATTCCTATGGCAGCTTACTTTATGACTTTCGTAGTGCCTTCAGAGGTGGCCCCAGTGAGATGTCACGTCCCCAATCTTGGGGGGACGAGTTGACCTTGTGTGCATCTGCGCACCTCCTTCCGCGCCCCATACTAGTGCTTTCCGATCAAGAGCATGAACATGAAAGGCGCTTTGAACCGCCGCCCTTGATCCATTCATCTGTGTGGGGGCCTGAAGTGTATGTAGTTCACCTGAACAATAACCATTATGAGGCAACGTGCCCCTTGGCAAAGCCAAGCACGAAGAAGGAGATTGTGAAGCGTGAGCCGTCCAACCTTTAGAGAATGCGTGAGAAGCTGGTTTGTGGAAGTTTGCAGGTCACATGTGTGGACGCATTGTCGATCCAGATGGAAGCTGATTTGAGGACATTTGAAGCAGCCCCGCCAAAGAGCTTCAATCTCAATGTCCAACCACTAGACGATACCCTTTTAGGACAGGCACTTCCGAAGGCTTAAACCTGGAGTCAACGCTTTTCTGACTCCAAAATCCATCCAATCCCCCGCAACGACGACAATGACCACACAACGACAAAGGTGGGGGGGAGAGGGGGCAAACACTACGGCGGCGGCGGCCACAGCAACAGCAGCAGCAACGTCACCGGCAAGAGCAACAACAACAAGTCGTTCACAACTGCAAGCACTATCACACCCGCGTGCATCTCTACATCAGCAAAAATCACAGTAGGAGAAGTTGAGTGACCACAAGGCCACATACTTCACAGAGGAACATCAAGACAACGACGCAGCGACCAGTATAGCTCGAAGGAGTGTCAATGACATTTTGTGTTTGCTGTTTGACTCAATATATATTAATATATACTCATTTGCTTTCCAAGAGTTCACAGGGAACCAGGAGACGGCCTCCCTTTAAGGGGAAGCTCTATTTCAACTCACACATGTGGTTGGCAGTAGGGGTTGTTCTTCTGTTCATTGCAACTTCCGAGAAAAGTAACTTCCAACGACAGCGATGACGGCTTTTGTTCAGCCACGTCGCATGTAGTTGTAGAAGTGGGGATGGCCCGATGCCCTCGCAAGTTTCAGAAAATGATGATGCATGAATCCAAGGAGGAATACATAGCCAAAGTGCGAAGGATCTCCAAAAGACAATTGGCATTGGCTGGCTATCGCTTGGCCGATTTACTGGCAGTTGCAGAACCCTGAGAATACTTCCTCTTTGTCCTTGTCTCTCATGCTCTCTCATGTCGGGCCAATTCTAATTCGTTATTTCAGCGGATACATGGCCTTTCAAGAAACACATGCAAAGTTGTATAATTCTTCGTCACTGAAGACATGGGAACTTGAGGTTGTGTGCTCTGGAGCGAATCCAAGACCGAAAGACTGAGGTCGTCCCTTTCCTGCAGATTTCCAGCGATCGCAGCGGCCTTTCAGACAGACCGTGGAGTCTTTGGACCAGGACAGACATCTACACGCAGGCAGCCTGGTGGGGTGTAGAGGGATCGTGGAAACATTTTGCGACTGTTCAAGTTTCTTCTGGCCGCCTACCCACGTTGGTTTTTGATGCAAGAAACAACATCGTCGGATCATTGGTACTGGAATGACTCTGACAATGACTCGCAATAACAATGCAAATGCATTGGCTTTGCCCTTGTCAAGGCTTTGGTTGCTCTTTGTAGCTTGCAGTTCCTTCTGCTGCTCCTACTGGGCTCGCTCTTGCTCCTCAGCTGGCTTATGACCTTGCCGCAGTGGCAAGATTCATTAGAGGATCTACAAACGAAAAGGACACCCATGCTATGATTTCCTGGGTGGGGTACCTCAGAATATGGAGGCTTCACTCGAGGATACAGACTTTTTTGACTTGTTCATTTAGATTCAGGTGTTGTATTGTTCCCTGGATCAAGGGTCTTGGCTTTGTTTAGATTCAGGGTTAACTTAGACATGACGTTTTCTCCTGATTCAGGCTTCGGAACAACGCTTTCTCGGTTTCTCTTTTTGCCCCAACAGAGCTTCTCCCCAGGTGCAAGGGTCTTCGCGCCAAACACCGGGACCGAGAGAGCTTGTATCTCGGCAGATATCAAGATACTCAAAGACTGAGCGACAACAACTAGTAGCGATGCCCTTTGTTACTAGTGGCTTCCTTCTCCGTGAAGGGATCTTGCAAATCGTGCAAATCCTTCTTGAGGATCTTTGTAGATCATTGGAGGGGTAGCAGTTTGGGGAAGGGTATCTTCAGGGGTTTTCTGATGATTGGTATAGCGAAAGCTAGTTTGTACCATGGACCATGCCTTTGAAACAATCTTTTTTTGTCCGTTGAAAGCTATGACGTCTCGGAAGCCAGCTTGTTTCTCTGATCGTTTGGACGCGTGCCAGGCTTGAAGCTGAAGCGGACCGCTTTGTCCAATTGCAAAGGTAGCCAACGTGCTCGATGCCCAAATAATAAGCATCGATTGTTCCAAGAAAGGCTTCTTGGAAAAAGGACGGATGGCGGCCCAAGTGTCACTGGGTTTTTCTCAGAAGTCGGAGCGGCAAAAAGTCTCCCATTGGTCTTCAAACTTCGCGTCACTATGTGTCACTAGAATATCCGATTTGCATGGGGATATCGGACACGGAAAAGCTGCTGCTAGGGATTCACTGTTGTCGTGATACACCTTACGACACTGGTCAGAACCTTGTTCTATTTTCAATATTTTGTGTTTCTTGACTTTTACCTATATTTTGCTCGTTTTGATGCCCTGTGCAACGCTTCCTCAGCCTTCTGTTTCTTATGAATTCTTTTGTAAGTTTGCGTGACCGGTCACACGCTCTCTTAACATGCAGCTCTGGAGGAGCATGTGCGCATACACTGTTTTTGTCATGCTACGGCACTACTCTGGCAATCTGACGTGGGTTTGATGCAATGGTGTATGGACTTTGAGTTTTCATTGTTGTGTACAGCTGAAGGACTTGCACAAGCCTGTTGACAACCCCCTTGCTATCAAATTGCTGATTGTCTTGTAAAGTGATTTGCTTTTGCCACTAGCAGCAGGGTTTGCCCCAGGCCGGTCATGGCGATTGCTGGCAGGTAGCGGGATTCTGCTTGCATCCACCGCACCTGTTGCTTCTGTTCCTTTTGTCGCATAGGATGCCTTGGCTTTGAGAATGCTGTCAGAGCAAACCCACAGCTTGAGACACAAGACTACAAGACTCCAAAGCCATCCTTTCAATCACGTGGAACAAGCCTTAGCAAGTGTTACACCTTCGGTAGGAGCTTTTAGAGTTTCCCAAGATGAACCTGGAAGGTTCAGCACCTTTGGTGAGTGATGACCGATTGTAGTTCTGAAAAGGTGACTGAGTGCCTAAACAAATCACTTTGCAGACGCTTTGCAAAATGAATTTCCAGAATGATGTTTTGAGGGTAGGATGTGTCAGACATGGAGTGCCATTGAGCTGTCGGGCATCTCTGGAAAGCTTGAGTGCATGCCCGTTGCAAAAATAACGATTGTCAGATCTGCTGACCTTTTTGTGGCACAAGGCCTGCCATGAGGACATGGCTGAGCCAGGAACCCAATCTCTGTCACGCAACAGTGCATGCCCTGCACTACACAAAGGGACTAATTTGGATGCCGCATCGCACATCCTCTGCATGCCGAGAACCTGCCAAGAAAGATGAATTGATGAAACATCTAAGTGTGGGTGTCCTCCATTTTGAAGCATAAACAGGACCACCTTCTTCTTAAGTTTTAGAACTTCTACCAGCCCTCACGGGCCTCCAGGATGAGCCATGCCGCAGTGGGAGGTGGGTTCGGTGAGAATTCACACTGACAGACGTGGTAAGATTCAACCACCTTTTGACTCCGAGTGGTGGATGTGGGGAAGGCATGCTTGGAAGTACTGCCTGGCTGTTCATGGTCTTTTAGGGGCCTTTAGTAGCTCAAAGATTGCTCATTGTTTTCTGATTTCACGTGCTGGAGAGGTCATTGGAGGCTCTGGCACGGGAGGCATCCTAGTGAGACAGGGTCAGGACAGGTGTGAAGCTCCGAAAAGCAGAGGATTTCACTTTCTGATGAGGTGCAGAAAAGGTGGTCAACTGTGTTCTTGCAGCATGTCGTTTGGGTGATATCATATCTCTGTGCAAACAAGAGTTGCTGGCAAGATCTGCCTTCGGAAGGTTGAAATGGACAAGCTCAAGGATGGCCTCCTAGTCGTTTAGAATCCCACTATCCATTTCGTTTTGATCTTAATTTCTTTACACAGGCTACACCAAGAAATTGTATTGTTTTAAGGTCAGTTTGGCCATAGAAATAGAACACATGGCACACACATTTCCCGGCAGCCCGAAACTGAAGTCGCGTTTTTGTGTCTTTATCGTTTGTGCAAGGCACGAATGTCGTTAAAAGCGCTGTTTTCTGCAGTGTTTGAATTGGAAGGCCAGCAAACGAAGCCTCAATTCCAAGGCTTTTTTTTTTTTTTAATTGTGGTTTTTTTCAGTGAGAAGTCCCATTTGCACAATGTGACACCTGGAAAAAGCGACGCCTTTAGACAGAGTTTTCCACGCAGTTCATTGGGCACGGTTCAAGTCCTGAATGCGACATGCCGTTGTGGCTGCCAAGTCTACATTCTTATTCATGTACCTCCATTGGAAGCTTCTCACGTAAGTCACGACATTTGCATGATGAGACGACAGAATGCCTTTACCAAAGCCCAATATGCAAAACTTGCTGTGTTTGCAGTCTTTCAAATCTAAAATAGAGTGAGACAGGAACCACCATATCACATAGAGGAACCGAGAAGCTATCAATATACAGTACAAGGACCACCGAAGAATGTTGTGAAACTGATGATGACAAATTTATGTTGTGAAACCGATGACAATGTTGTGAAACCAATGACAGAAGATGACTGATGATGATGATGATGATGATGATGATGATGATGATGGTGATGGTGATGGTGATAAGGATCGTGATAAGGATCGTGATCGTGATGGTGATGGTGATGATGATGATTAAGTTCTCAAGTACCATAAAACGCTACTACGGTTCTCGGGCCGTAGGCCAAAACTTGAAGGACACAACACATGTGCATTAAGTATAATCAACTTCGTGGCTTTCGGCTCCAGCTGACAAAGGACAACTACCATTCCGGCAGACTCTTCTTTGGAGGGGCGCAGGTACAGATTCGGATGGGGAGATCGTCAGCTCTTGGCTGCCCTCTCCTGCACTTTGCGGCACATCTCTTCGCGCCAGAATCCAAACTTGAGGCCGTTCGTGATGGGAGAGATGCCGAAACATGTTTGCGTTGACGGGGATCTTGTGATGATCAACCTACCATTTCTGGGATCAGAACTTCCAGTCATTCCAGTCATTTTTGAACTGTGCTTGCTTTGGTCAGGCCGCTCCGCCCCGTACTGAGGCCAAGATAGCCCCTCTTGCAAAGGGCGAAGTGACTAAGGAGAGGGTGTCTGGCATCTTCCACCTGTTTTGCGATGACCATCTGAATGGCGGGCCTCACATCCCCCCAAGCCAACTTGATCAAACCCCTAAACCCACCTGATGAAAAAGACCATAAAAGACCGCTCCCCCCAGGCTGGACGCCGTACTAATCCGATCAAAACATCTTTCAGGTCCGTGATTCACTTCCGCTTTTCCATCGCTTTTCTCAACGACCCTGGCGGAGGACCTTCGCCCGGAGGCCATTCGGGGGACTGATCCCATCGCCACGTTTCTCAAGGGCACCTTTGGAGGTGCTGCCGTGGCCGCCACGCTGCTGCGGAAGGAGGATCTCAGCACCGAGCCACAAGTGACAGAGACAAATTAGTCAATGACCTGTGGGAAGCCGAATCGCACAGCTCCCTGAAGAGGGAGAATGAAGCTTGTTTTTCCTGTTCATGTGGAAGAACGGGATTGAGGGCAACGTCCTCTCAAGCTTTCTTAGGCTCAGGCCCCCTTAAGGAGCATGGCTAGAGAGGGTGCCTGCGTGTTCTTTGCTTTGTCGATTGATGGAGATGGGACCGGCCTGAAGACAGCTGGTTGGGTTGTGGAGATTGACGGGGCGACAGCTGTGGTGGCTGTGGCTCCTGGTGTGGTGGAAGGGTTAGCGGCAGCTGTAGTTCGCAGTGAGATAGGCTTTGCGCGGCTACCCGTTTCTGCACTTGGCCTTCAGAAGCCGGCTCACTGGCCCTCCTCAGTCAGAGGCAATTTGCCGGATCTTCGAAAAAGCAGAGCTACATGGTTTGGGGGAGAGAAAGCGTCTCTTGTGAGCAGCGAGGCCGAGGCCCCAGACCCAAGGAGAACAAAATGTCACCAGATGTTCAGAAGCAGCTGGGTGCCTTCAGTCAGCTTTGGGGAAGCCCCGAAGCCGAAGAGGAGAGCGAAGAGGGGTCAGACGAGTCAGAAGAAGAAACTCTTCGCTTCAAACCACCAGGCGGGGCCACTCGTTCCCACAGAAAGAAAGAGAAGAAAGCCAAAGGCAAGAGTTCAGTCGACGACCTCATGATGCAGCTCCTCAGCCAGCAGGCAGCGGCCAACAGTCAAATGCCAGACCTCACTCCCTTTGTCTTGATGAAGCTCCTCGACAAGGATGCCCGCAAAGGTCGCCGAAGCCGGCGGGCAAGGGAAGAGGACAGTTCAAGTGGTGGCTCCGACTCCGACGTGTCGGGCAACGACGACAAGGACAAGGGAATGAAAGCAGTGAAGACCTTGCACCACATGCAGCAGAGGATAGTGGACCACCCAAAGAAGATCATCCGCGAGTTCGAGCGCGAAGTGATTCAAGACCTAGGAGTGGTGGTTGGTCAGAGTTGGACGCTGAAAGATTGGGTGAAGCGGCAACCATGGAGCAAGTTCAAAGGTATCCAGAGATGCGCCATGCAGGATGTAGCCGTGATCGAACTTCTCCGCAATCAGCAGCCGGAGGCGGCTTGTGCCCAGGCGATCCAGAATTTGAAGTCAAAGGTGCAATGTGCCCTACAATTGGGAGATTGGACGTCAGCTTGGCTTCTGACAGGCTTGGTGGACCCTTTGGCCAAAAAGGAGTTTGCTGACACAAGAAATGTCGGTGATCTCAGGCCACTTGTCAGCTCTGGCTCGCCTCAAGAAGCAGGTGAATTGGCCGGCGCAGACGACGACGATGCCAAAGAAGGCAAGAAGTGAGTGGGGGCCAATCTGAGGAAGCTAAGCATGTTTTTGAACTTGGGAGGGCGCTTTACGATCCGTTCCTTCCGGGCAAGAATTCGAAGTTTAGTCGTTATGTTTCTTGGTTTAGCAACGCTCAAAGTACCTTGCCAGTTCTCACTGACAATGACAAGCTGTTTCCATGTGCTCTCCCTTTTTGTGAAGCTCTGGCGTGGGGAAGCCGACTCAAGGGTAAACCAACGAAGACTTTGTGGGCCAAGCGTTGGGTTAATACTTTGTTTGCCTGGTTCAACTTCGTGACTTTGGGCTGCCCGGAGTCGGTGGGGGCTATGAGCCGCAGGCGGGTTATCACGTGGGACGGAATGTCCGTCGCGCCGCTGGTAAGCTGCTGGGCGAGATTACGGCGAAGACACGCAGTCTATTCACAAAGCTAGAGAGAGGCTTATGTCAAAGCGGACCTTCAGAGGGCGGTGCGCAAGGCGTTCACTGGTGAAACTAGTTTTCGGGCATGGGGAGCAGAGGTCAATGGCCTCCGTGGTACAGTGGCAGCTCCGCAAATTGGCGCGACCTGTGGAAATTGATTGCTGTAGTACTCAGAGGAGGTTTTGCGACGAAGGAAATCTTGCAAAAGTTACTTGGATACACCTGTTTCTGTTTACAGTTTCGGCGTGAACTCTATGGGGGGTAATCAATGGAAACGAGTGCCGGCAGACATTTGTGATGAATTGCGGAGCCAGAAACTGATTGCGACTGATGCCATCCCTAGTTCTGGAGCTGCCGCGGAAGCTTTCATCGCAAAAGCTTTAGCAAAGGAGCTGTTTCGTAGGAGCGAATACTGTGAAGCCCCAGTGAGACTGGGTGGCACAGAGCAGCCGTTGAGCCGAATGAGCCGGTTGGCAGACAACTGCCAGCTACAGTTTTAGACACGCTCGCACACACCATGTGAATCTACAAGAACTTCGAGCATTGAGGCGTGAGGTCGTGCGTAAAGCCCGAGATCCCCGTCAACATGGGCGTGTTCATCTTTTTCTGACTGATTCAAAAGTATGTGTTGGCTGTGTCGGAAAAGGTAGATCCTCATCGCGCAAGATCAACGGCGTCCTCAGAGCATTAGTTCCTCATTTGGTAGCTTCGGACATTTCATTGGGTCTCAACTACGTGCATACAACCTGCAATCCCGCTGTGAACTTCCCCCCCCCGAACCACTACCCAGTTGGGTGAAACGCTTTGGGCTAGGGCGCCAATTGAAGCCATTTGTGGGTTCAGACCAACTCACGCGAGTGCATCGTGCCTTGGGTGCGCCCATGAGAGAGGTTGTTGATGTTGTTGGGGTGCTTGACGCATGGATCCCTGCGGTTGAAGAGGCGCTGAAAAATGGTGAGGTGGGTTGGCTTTGGATGTCTCCACCGCGAGGTTCATTCTCTCCTCTTCGTAACTTGGATCATGGTGGGCCCCTTCGTCCGGGTGGAAGTCCAGCAGGTGATGCAGCCGTCCGGAGGTTGCGTTAGAGAATCGGCTGTGGCTGCAAATGTTAGCCTTGCCCACCTGTGTTTATCATTGGGCATCCCTTTCACCATTGAACATCCTCGGAACAGTCGGGCGTGGGCCCTTCATGAAACTCAGCTGCTACTCAAGAGGCGTGAAGTTCGCCTGGTGCCAGTGGACTGGTGCTGCTAGCCCCAACAAAAAGGCTAGGCGGTTGCTCACTTCTTGTCCATGGATCAGTTCTTCTTGGTGTCAACTTTGCCCGGGTACTCATGATCACGGGGTTCCTCTCCGCGGGCGACGAGCTGTTCAAATTTGGGATTACCCTCAGGCTTTTTGCCAACAGTTGGCGCTTCGCTTGCTGAGTTGGGGTGGGTGGTGATGGTGCGGCTGGCGACTGTCGGATTGTCGTCGACTTACCGTCGAGACCTTCTTCGTGGCTGGGAGTGGATTGCGCGTAGGGCTCGCGAGAATGGGGTGTCCTTGTCTACGTTGTCAGATCCGCGCTCATTCGACCGGGTGCTAGAGGGCTTTGTTCAGACAGCCTTTGAAGAAGGCGAAGAACTTCGCAATGTCGTGATGGGTGTGGTCGCAGCTCAACGTCGACTGCACCTGTCTGGGAGCCTACTGCGAGGGACGTGGTCTTCGATCAAGGGCTGGAGAATTCCTATGCCATCGACGCCCAGAGTTGGTGATCGTGAGGCGGTTGTCCTTGCGGGCATGAGCTTGGGCTTGCGTCAATCTGGTCGGCTTCGTCGTCGGCGGTGGTCTATGTCTCTTGCCAGCTGGCTGTCCTTTGAAGGTCTCCTACGTCCTGGCAAAGCTCTAAATCTTCAATGTCGGGACATTGTATTTCCAAGTGCTGAGCTGATTGGCCCTGATCCCAATTTGGTGATTGTGACACGGAACCCCAAAACTCGTAGAGTTTGGAAAACTCAATTTGTTGCACGGATGCTTCTCTCATCAGTTGGTTGAGCTGGTGGTGTCACGGACTTCGTTCCAGTGACCCTGTCTTCCCCATTTCACGGTTCCAATGGAGTTCTTTATTGAAGGCTGCGTGCGCCTGGCTGGATCTATATACATGAAGTTGGTTACTCCCCGGCCTCGTTTCGCGCGGGGGGGGCCACACATCTTTTTCGGTCAGAGCAGAATTTGGGAAGGGTGCAGTACAAAGGCAGGTGGAAGTCAGCAGCAACGTTGGAATCCTACTTGCAAGAAGCCATTTGCTCATGCCACTCACGTTGTTTCTGACCGTGGGCGACGCCGAGTTGCAGAAGTGAGTTGTTTTTAGGCTCAAGGAGCCCTAGTTTTGAGGTGGTGGAAGATGTACTGGAATCCTTGCTCATGCGAGCTCTGGGTTTTGGACTTCCAAAGTTTGATTCTCTTTTGTTTCTTCTGCAACTCGTATGTCGCAAGCAATTGCTGGAGCCATGCTCGAACAGCACATAATCTTATTTTTTGGCCAAACAAAGGGATATTCCAGCTCGTGGTGGTGTACGGGATACGTTAGACCAACCTTTGTCCTAGCAAAGACGGTCGGCGAGATTGCCAACTTTGAGGTAGGTTCTCAGATTCCGGCCCCTTTCAAGGTCAGCGGGTTGAGGAGGCGCTTGGTCATCCAGAGTTTTTGGCAGCTGCTTCACGTTGGCACGGCGGTTCTGCCCGCCGTCAGATGATTTCTGCTGTGGCTAAAGCTGCCCAATACTTGGAAGTCCTTCGGCCTGGTTTGTTAGAGAATTCCACATCTCCAGACGGACCTCCCGTGGTGCGTCCTTTGCCTTTAGCACTTGGTGATGCAAAAGCTGGCCAGACTTGTTGGTGGAAGTCGCCTCTTCAGTCCATCAAGCAGGCATTTTGGCGCAAATGTTTTTCGTTTGCGCCTTTAATTGTTGGTGGGGCTGACCGTGCTTTTATTGTACCCGAAGCTGGTTGCAACCGTGGTTGCGCTGCTTCTCGAGCGCTGGGTGTCATTTTGGTGGCGATTTGGGAGGAAGTGAATGGTATGGCATGGCACTTACTTCAGGCTAGTTGGGTTGTGGAGGATCACCTGATCGTGCTCTTGGAACAATCTTGGCTTGGGCAACTCACTTACCCTTTGCGCTCGCCTTCTTCACCTGCTACCACTCCCAGAGATGCTGCGCCGCTCTGCCGCCTCCGCTTCCTGCCGCTTCGCTTCCCCCTCCCTACCCTCCCTGCAGCGTCGCTGGCTTGCTGCTTGGTGTCTACCACCGCCGGTCTGCCCGGGGTGGGATGGGACCTTGAGACGACTTATGGATGGTGGTTCCTGGCAGTCGCCTTTTTTCTATGACACTGTGTATGCCATAGTTGTCCTCCTTGTTTCTGATGGCATGCTAAAGTTCTTTGCTGGAGGCCTCTTCTCGCTTGTCAACACTATAAAGTATGCCATTTTTGATGCTGCCAGATTTGTGCTTTTGAGAAGTCATCCATGTTTGAGGGAGTCTAAAAGATGGCTCCAAACCGCAGCCTACTGTTCCGATGTGCGTTGCCCAAAAGGCTGGTGCGTGGCTCAGCTGTGCAATCAATCAAGCGAACAGTACAGGAATGAAGCTTGTTTTTCCTGTTCATGTGGAAGAACGGGATTGAGGGCAAACGTCCTCCACCAGCCACCCCACCTCCTCCATCGCACAGCTCCCTGAAGAGGGAGAATCAGAGTTGCTAGAGATTTGCTGCGATTGCTGGTTAGACTAGCAGAAGTGGAGGTTCTGCAGTGTTTTCTGAGGCCTTTGGGACATTCTCCCACAGGGATTTGCGTGGCCTTAGCTCATCAACTTGCCCCGCCACAAAAAACACAAATCGATGGAAATCCGGAAACCTCTCAGGATTCTCCAGATTCTGTTGGTGGGTTCTGGAAACCCGGCAGGCTTTACCCAGAGCCACTGGAGACGAGAGCAACTAATCCACTCTAGGCCGCCTCCCGAACAAGAATTTCTTTTTTTATTGCTAGTTGGCTTCTTTGGCTGCAGCTTGAAATCAAAATTGATTTGCAAGAGATCCCACAGCGATGACCTGGCAGTCTCTTTATATGAGCCGACCCAGGTGAACCTGGTCTCCTCCAGCTTCGAGGAGCTCTTCGGCTACTCGAGAGAGGAGTTGACGGGCAAGTCCATCTTGCGGTTGCTGTCCCTCACAGGAGCCAGCAAGTCTTCACACCAATCGCTGAAGATGAGTCTTCAGAAACTCTTCATGTAGAGCTTCTAACCTGGTTGCAGGTGGTGTTGCACGTCACTTGGCCATTTGCAGGTGAAGGATCCTGCGCAATACCTACCAATGGTTGCAAAAAACACTGCACCGTGGGGGGTTGCTTTAATGTCAACCCCGGATTAATAAACCCTCCCCCCCCCACATGGAAGGTCAACAAGGTCAAGAAGGTATGAGAAGACACTCAAACACTCATGAGGTCCACTCCCCCTGAATTATCGGCTCAGGGAGCCATCGCAGTCGTCGTCGGTAGTAGGTAGTAGGTAGTAGGAAGTAGGTAGTAGGTAGTAGGAAGTAGGTAGTAGGTAGTAGGTCGTAGGTAGTAGGTAAAGGTAGTAGGTAGTCGGTAGTAGGTAGTGGTAGTGGTAGTAGTTGTAGTAGTAGTGGTGGTGGTAGTAGCAGTAATAATAGTAGTGGTAGGAGCAGCAGCAGCAGTAGTAGTGGTAGTAGTAGTCACAACAAGTTTAAACAAGCGCAAAGAAAAGGCCAGGGACACAGGATCAAATTAAAGGGGGTTGTTGTGCAGATTATTGATGGGGGACCGGCCCTTGTGAGGGGTACCCTTTGTGAGCTTGTCAAATGATTGTTTAATTGTTTTTGAAAAAGGCAATTTATAGGCCCTGAGCCCTAGACATTTTTAAGGTTTTCATCAAACATGTAGTAGGTAGTAGGTGGTAGGGTGGTGATGGTGGCGGTGGTGGTAGTGGTGGTGGTGGTAGTAGCAGTAGCCGTAGCAGAGCAGGAGCAGTAACAGCAGGAGCAGCAGCAGCAGCAGCAGCAGCAGCAATAGCTAGTAGCAGTAGCAGTAGCAGTAGCAGTAGCAGCAGCAGCAGCAGCAGTAGCAGTAGCAGTAGCAGTAGCAGCAGCAGCAGGAGGAGGAGGAGTAGTAGTAGTAGTAGTGGTAGTGGTAGTAGTAGTAGTAGTAGTAATACGAAAAATTGACCTGGTTGTGGGCTAGGATTAACTGGGGGGATTGTTGGTAGAAAACTAGACCATAGGGGGGGAAATCAACAGCCAATAATACTTTTAAATTGGACAATTTCCGGCGGCTTTGTGGGCTCGGGTTAACTAGGGGGGATATATTAATCCTGACTTGTAATTACTCCAATCACCAGGTCGGCGAACGCTCTCTGAGAACCTCTTGTTGATTAGCAGTCTGGCAATGATGTTATGTTTGGATTAGGCCTGATTAAGTAGGTTTGTTCGGGAACGGTATGGCTTTCATGAGCACCATGGTCACCCTGCAACAGGAATGGCTGATCCGCAGCTGGAAATATATTACAACATGGCGCTTCATGGCTTGGGTCTAGCACCCACGACCGGTGTGCAGGTCCCCCTGCGGCGGAAGACAGGTGAACTCGTGGATGCCTCGGTGACGATCCAGAAGACCGTGCTACCAGGACCTCATCCGAAAAGCATGCTGGTGCTTGAATCAGTTCAATCACTCTCCCCCATCCGAAAAGTTTTTGTGGCTGGCCCAAAGCAATCCTCCAAAGACGATCCAAGCAAGATGGTGTTGCTCAATTCACCGTAGATTCTTGTTGAGTTGATCTCCGAGGTGCTGGAAAAGATGATATCTGGTGGCTGGTGGGGTGAAGTCAGTTTGAGGAATTGTATAGTGTTTCAATGTTTTTCATTTCCCCGTCAACTACAGACCTGCATGACGTAGATCTCGAGGAGCTCCTGGGCAAGAACTTTTGCTCTTCCATTTCACTGATCTCACCAACCACGAGGAGGTAGATCAATGGGTTGGCCTTGTTCGTTTTTGGCCCACACGCCAGTTCATAAGATATTTTTGCACAACTGCACAGTGCATGTTCGGTGCGGTTAGGAGATTTTGGGAGGGTTTTGGCCCCGGTAACATCCTCGGGCCTTCTTGACTTTTTCATATATATATATATATATTTGTATGACTGAAAAGAACGCAGAGGCACATAGACGCAGTACGTTGCAACCGATTTCTCCAACTTCATTCCCGGTGGTGCTTCGTAAATGAGACTGAGATAGTTAATGATAAAGAGCGAAGCGGGACTATCTTCCATGACTACCCCAACGTTGGAAGCACGCTCCACCATTCGGAAGCATGCCACATGCTGGCAGGGGGGGTTAAGCCAAACTGTTTGAACATTGCCCTGCAGACAATTCAATTAGACTATTATACATTGTTCTCTTCTACGTCAACTACGAAGGGGTCTTAGAGAGCAATGAGGCAGGTGAGCAAGTTGTTTGGCGGGTTTCACTGTGGGGTACACATGACACAAGATTGACACACACACACACACATGTTCAATCCAAAAGTAAAGTCGTTACTGGTCACCGGTAGCTGGATGTCATGAACACTTGAGAGCTTCACTCATAATTAAATTTACAGCAGTGGCATTCGTGGGGGCAGAGCCTGGAAGTTCTCGCCCGAGGGCAGTGTTTGCTGAGCTCGCGCGCCAGGTCAGTGGATAGCTCGGAGGCCATGTCTTAGACTGACTGGGCCGGGGCTGTGCCCGTGCCCAAACTCCAATGGCTGTGTTTAAAGGCAAGCTGGATAGGAAAGTCCGACAGGTTGACTCGCACATTGATTGGATTCCTTTTTGAACATCTGGGTGGCTGCAGGACACTGAATTGTCAAATTGAAGCTGTTGGCAAAGTGGCAACTGTATGTGCTTTTGTGAGTGTTCTGAGGCAGAAGCCCCCTCAGATCCGCACGTGGCACATTTTCCCATTTGAGTCAAGACATAGACTCGTTGGATTGTCGCACTGACCATGAAGTACCCGTGTTCATCACGGGGATGCAGAGTGCGCAGGTTTCTCGTCGTGTTTTCGTCAGCGGATTCCAAGGACGATGCGGCTCCATAGTTTAAAATAGACTGAAAGGTGAGCTTGTTGGCTTAAAGATCCTTCTGAAAGAAAACTGTGAAGGGGCAGGACCAATTCCGCTTCATGATCCTCATAAGCCCAAGCCCTGATGCATTTAAAGAATATTTTGTTTGTAAAGATCACTGAGTGCCTGGAGGTGCTCAACCTCGAAGAGAGCCAACAGCTCACGTGTCACATGCATTTGGCTGTGACAGAGCATCAATCTTTGCTGAAGCGTTGAAACCCATTTCCATTTTTGTGCTTTGGAAACGCAGCTGGCAACAATTGCTTCAGTGTCTCAAGTTGTGCAAATGCAGACAATTGCACTGGCATGGTGAGACGGAGCAACTGCAGTTCCAGCGTGTTCCTGACTTTTAATATTTTCTTGAATCCAGCTCAATGCTGGTCTTCCCCTTCATGCACAACTGCATGAGATTGACGAAGTGTTTATCGACGGAGAGATAAATCGAGAAAGTGTTTGTTTCTTTTGCGGCTTGGGGCCACGCAGAACCACAGAGCACAGGAAGCATGGCCCATTACATCACCCTCCGCTGACTAGTAGTGTAGTTTAAATATATCATGGGTGGTGTTTGACACACAAAAATTCCCAGATCGAGGTGTAGCTCACCACGGGCCAGTAGGCCATTCTAGGCAATTTCACTAGGAGCTAAGGGACAATTCTACTACCTCTCAGGCTCCAGGACCGATCTGGTGCATGATCAACCATGATCAGTTTTGGGATAGATGAATGACCTCCACACCCACACGATTTGCTTTGCCTTATGCTTTGAGGAGGTTTGTTACAGATTTGTATGGCAACCATACCCCCACACCTGCAAGTCCGAAGAGCATTCAGTCAAACTCCTTCACTTGTCACAATTCGCATGCGGTTGGTCTGGTGACAGATCGTAGTCTCCCCATGGCAGATGGATCCTGATGCTGATGCCTTCGTGATCTGAAGACTGAATCTGCATGCACTTGTTGCTCCTGTGGCTCATGCTCCCAAGATTTGCTTGGTCGTGGCTGTTCCTGTTCTGATTGAGAGGAGCAGCTATACCCAGAATCGATGACGGCCAAAAAGAGTCCACATTTGAAACACAGACACCCGACAAAAGAACCATGGGTGGGCCCGAAGTGGATCTCCAATGCAGCAGGTTGTTTGATCCAATGGATGTGGCCCAAACCTCCAAAGCTGCTCCCACAAGTAGCCCTTGCATGCCCTTGCCATATTCGGAGGAATTCTTTTTGCGGAAAGGACCATGCGAAGGCGTGGGGCGATGTGGGTTAGGAGAACCCCAGAACCAGGCGGATCAGCCCTAACCTGCCTTTGTGTGCTTAGGAGACACATTCAAAGCCTTCCACATCTACTTTCGAGATCCTTGCGTTGTGCCTGTATAAATTTTACATGGAAACCGATCACAAGTGACCCCTCACAGATTGGATGCTGCCGGACCTCCTTCCACCTGGGAGGAGCTCAAGAGCCCGCAGCTGGAGAAGCGACTCGAGACTGGCTCTATCGTGGTCGGCAGCTCAGCGGGCTTGGATTGAGGCACACCAACTGAACGCGAGAGATGGGATTGGAGATGTGCAGACCATTTGGCCGTTGATCATATCCTGGTTGTTGTCTTGAAATGAAAAGTAACCCTGATCAAGACTCACAAACAACTATTCCCAAGTTGTAACAACAAACCCTGATTCGCTAATTAGTTGTACAGTCCGTTATTCAGCAATAACAAGATATAACAACAAATAAATAAACAAACACACTCACACACATACATATATATATATATACACACTATGTTTTTATTGAACTTTCACATTGGGGTAAACTGACTCCAATTGCATCGCATCACTGTGCACCGTTCTATTCCAAGGTACCTCGTTAAGCGCCCTGTCTTTTCGCCATGTCGGTCAGATGTAGTTGACCCCACCAGGAAGAGCTGCGACTCGTGGGCGAGCGTCTTCACTACCGACTTTTGAGAGGTGCCCTTTCGTGTTGCTGGAAGATTGGGAGAATGGTACCATTTCCTTTCGGAGTAGATAGACGATGACCAGTTCGAACATCTTCAGTTGCCAGATTGTCTAACCGAACCACATGCCAGCGAGGTTCCTGTTCAATTTCTTGATATCCTTCTCAGAGGTAGCTTACTCTGACCACGTCAGCTTGCAGCCACTCAGCTTTGGGGCCTGTTGATGGGGACATTAACGGTCATTGGTGACTTTGCATGACAGATCTAGACACTGGCAAACAGATGGTTAGGATATATTAGGATTCAGAAGGCTATCGGATTCGCATGGATTCGCGGTTCGGATTCTCGAGAAAGCCTCGGGCCTCCATGGATACATGGAGTCGCTTCGGGAGAAAGCTGACTTTGTGCAGCAGCACCGGCTTTGCAAGACGACCTCTGCCTTTCAGGTGATACAGAATCTTCTCTGGCCTGACGCCAGCGCCAGCTTGATAGATTTTCTTGCGCATTTCTGTATAGTGATTGTGATTAACCTACTGCAACCATGACTACAAATCTGCTATTCAAGCAGCCTCTATTCTATCGGTCCATCTCAAGGCGTCCAGAAGCTCTGGGTAAACTGGGATAGCATGTCTGTGTTTTTCACTTGAGCCTGATTCAAGGCATATGTGTTGGGGCCTTTTAGGCTCGAGTATGCAGGCCATTGGATGTGGCAGGAGCTAGACTCGACGCCCGGGTCAAAAGGACGCTTCGCTTTCAGCCGCAGGGGCGGCTCGGATCTTCAAAGGTCGACCAAGCCTTTAAATTGGTAGCGGAGCCCGCAAGGGCTGCCGCGGGGGCAGATGAGACGAGAAGAAGCTGGATGGACTGACCAAGAGGTTCGACGGAGAGGGTGCCAACTCATCGAAGGACTACGAACGCTGGCGTCGATGAAGCAGGGCCTATCTCACAGTCCAAAAGGCCAAGGGGATCGCAAAGGAAACACATGGCAGCCTGATCTTCTCCTTGCTGGACGGGACTGCTTTACGTGCTCTGGACTCAATCCCGATGGACCGCATTGAGGAGGAAGGCGGCGAGGAGGTTGTGTTCCAGGTGTTGGATGAGCGATTCCCGGCCGAGGCGACACATGACCGCCTGGGCAAGGTGCTCGACCAGGTCTTCGATTTGAAGGTGGACAAAGGGGAGAGCACAGCGGTCTACACGGGCAAGGCGAGGGCGGCTTTCGCGGCTGCGGAGGCTGAAGGTGTGGTCTTGCCTGAGGTCGCCCGTGGATATGGCAGCCGCCAGGCAGTCGTACACCGAGAAGGATGTGGCTGCGGCGTTGAGGACCACGTACCCGGACAATCTGTTCCAAGCGGCACGACAGACAGGGACCTATCGCGTTGAAGATGAAGAGCCCATATCAGAGGAGGACACGCTGACCGATGAGAACGCTTTTGAAGTGTACTTGGCTCAAGCTGGGTATGACTGGGTATGCCCCGGATGATGAGATGGAGGAGCAGGACCGCGTGGACATCCTGCTGACCTGGAAACAGACGAGGGCAGGAATCAACCAAACCAAGCTGGCCAGAGGTTTTGGAGCGAGTCGAAACACCACAGGCAAAGACTTCAAGAAGTTGGAGAGCCGAGTTCGATGCTTCCGATGCAAACAGGTCGGGCACTTTAGTCGCAATTGTCCCAAGAAAGGAAAGGGGACAGGCAAATCGAGCAAAGATGCCACGACCATGCCCAACAACAAGGTGACGACCTGGTCCAATGACTACTTTGAACCGGAACAGTTGCTGAGCAATGGCCACACACCTGGGGACCACCGTTGTCAGGACAAGAGATGATGGCAGCAGTGGCAGGCTGGGAGTATGTGAGAAAGTGCAAGGGAGACCCCAGAGATGTATGAAGTGGAGTCAGAGGAAGCAGCCCAGGTCGATGGCAATGAGGAACTGGACAACCAGACCGGCAGTCATCCAGAAGACATGGAGGAAGAGACCGACAATAGGACCGGCAGCCAACCTGGCAGAAGCGGAACTCTCAGATATGGATGATGATGGGGAACAACGTGTCTTCACCGCCCAGAAGAGGAAGAGGCTCCAGAAGACACTCAGTGCAGTGATGGCCGCTCAACACTTCCTGTGTCGAGATCTTTTGCCCTGGAAGGTTTGGGGAGAAGGCTCACATGTTTGGCATTAGAGGATGCAAAGCCTTCGGCTGGACTGGAAGAGAGCAGCTGATCGGGCAGAAGTGTGGAAGTATCTGGATGAAGAGGACCCAGACCTGGTGATCATGAGTCCGCCGTGCGGACCACTATCGCGCCTTCAGAACTCCACGCCACCATGGCGGAGGAACGACCTGGCTGAGTTCAACAAGTCGATCGTGGAGGCAAAGGCAATGGTGGCACGGTGTACGAGGATTGCAAAAGACCGTATGAGAAAAGGGAGACTTTTCCTTTTCGAATCCTCGTCGACAAGTGCTGCCTGGAGAGAACCTGCTTTGATCGACCTGCAGCAGCCAGAGGAGTGCCACCGAGTGGATGTGCCGGCGTGCTCAGTGGGACTCAGAGACCGAGCAAGGATCGCACAAGCTCTTCGGGAAGAAGTGGGCATGAATGCTCCGGGATTGTGGCTATGCTATCAGCTCCGATGCAGTGGAGATCACGAGCACCAGGTGGTCGAAGGCAAGTCAGGGGGACAGTTACGGTCCATTCAGACACAGGCGTGCCCAGAAAATTGATATACAAGATTCTAGGAGGACTGGCCTGTAACGAGAAGTTTGAGCATCTTTGTTGTCCTATTAGCCAGGCGGACGTCCAAACTGAGACATCGGAGCTCAACAAAGGGTCACAAAGAAAGGGTCAGGAATGCCATTAGGAAGATGCATGTCAATTTGGGCCATGCTTCACTGGATGACATGCTGCGCATCTTACGCCATCACGGCGCTCAACCGGAGGTACTGGAGATCGTTAAGAGCTTTCAGTGTGACTTGTGTGATGCTAGACGGCAGCCAAAGGCAGTGAAGGATAGTGCTGCATGCAAAGACCTAGCCCTGCTCCGATACATTGGACTGGATGTCAAATGGCTTCCCACGTGGAAGAAAGACACGCAAACAAAGCTCTGAACATCGTATGCAGGGCATCAGGTTTCCAACAAATCTACCCCTTCCGGGAAACAGAAGCATCAGACGTCTTGGTGAGGCTGTATCGGATGTGGACACGATCGTTTGGGAGACCAAGGTATGTGAAATTTGACGCCAGCAGATGCAACCTAGGTCAGCCATTTCTAGATGCACTCGAACAAGACGGTACAACCCCATTGGACATCCCTGGAGAAGCACATGAACAGTTGGGAGACGTAGAAGTCCAGGGTACGCATTTTTCAACCATGTTGACGAAGGTTATAGACCAAATGCAACCGGATGACTACAATCAACGGTTGGAATGCGTGGACAGTACACCGGAGGCTAAGAACCAACTGATGAGACGGGGAGGCTACAGACGGGTGTTTGGACGAGACCCAGAATTCCCAGGCGATGATCTTTTGGATGAACCCCCAAACCCGATATCCAATGAAGCAATTTTGGAAGATGCCATCGCTGCCTTTTCTTTCCGTTCTCGACAAAGGGCTCGAGAGGCGTTTCTGCAGTCGTTAGACCATCGAGCAGCAAGAATCGCTTTGAATGCGAGGCCTAGACCTAGGAGAGAATTCAGAGCAGGAGATGAAGTAGCAGTTTGGAGAAGGGGACGGGGCATCAAGAAGAATATGGCTCGTTTGGAGGGGTCCTGGGATTGTGGCCGGTGAAGTTGGGGGAAACTATTGGTTATCAAGGCATGGTTCATTTGTGAAATGCTCACCAGAACAGCTGCGACTACGGACGGCCTCAGAGCGAGAAGCTGATCGATTTTTGGTCAGGGATATCCGTGCTGCCGCAGCCCAGTTGTTTCCAGAAGTTTTACAAAGCATACCCAGAAAAACTTCATCGATATCACGAAGGATGATTTCCCCCCAGGAGACCTTTTTCCGGAACAATCATCAAGGGGCCAGCAGCAGCACGGACCAATGGATGCCGCAGATCAGCCCGAGCGTCTATACCATCCAACCCACCAGCAAGCAAACCGTCTTGATGGGCACATCCGACCAAAAGGCTCAGAACCCGAGCTAAAGAGACTCCGCCAAGAGCAAAGAGTTGGAGGACAAACATACCCTCAGTCACTTCCAAACCCACCAACAAGGATACCAGAACAAGTACCGATCCCAGTTTCCAGCGACAGTGGATCAAGAAGTGCCACGTCTTCATCATCCTCATCGGGATCAACATCCAACAGTTTATGGACAGAACGGAAACCCATGTTGGATTCAGCATCGTTCAATGTTGCACTAACAGAGTATGGGGTAGAGGACCAGGAATGGGTGTTGGCAACGGAAGATGTTGGGGAAACAGGGCACGAAGTACTTTTAGCTGGAGGGAGAAAGGAGATCAACATCAAGGAGGTTCAATGGGTAACTCAAGAAGGAAAGGAGAAACTCATTGCCGGAATTAGAAAGGAAGTGAAGAATGTGGTCGCAGATAAGAAGGCTCTGCGACCATGCTCACTGGAGGAGTGTTGAAGGATCAGGCAACAACATCCTGAGAGGATAGTGCCCAGTCGATTGGTCCTGACTCCCAAGACCGACGACACAGGCGATGAAATAGTGAAGGCTAGATGGACGGCCAGGGGCGACAAGGATCCAGATTTGTTTGCTTTGGTCAGATGAGGCAAAACACAGTCACCGACTATATCATCCAAGGGACGATTCGCAGTTTTGCAGACAATAGCAAGTTGTCACTTCTCGCTACAATTGGGTGATGTGACAGGGGCCTTTTTGGAGACCAAAGAACTAAAGAGGGATCAACGTCTCTGGATGTCTTGCCCAAAGAACTATCCTCTTCCGGATCACGACCCTGACCAGTTGTTTGAGGTAGTGAGACCTCTGTACGGACTAAACGACAGTCCACAAAAATGGTTCAGCACTTTCGACGAAGCAGTGAGGAGTCTATCATGGACGCCATCCAGATTGGACCCGTGTGTGTACATGTTGCGGGATTCTCAGCAGGGTGGGGGAGAACCTTGCTTAGCAGGAAGCATGGGAGTACACGTCGACGATGTTCTTTTGGGTGGATGAGGGGAACTGTTTGAGAAGTCGATTGCATCGCTGAAGACAAAGTTTCCTTTTCGCAAGTGGATGAAGCATAAAGGAACGTTTTGTGGCTCACATTTGGAACAATGCCCTCAATCATTTGCAATCAACGTCAGTCAGGAAGAGTTTGCTGAGAAGATGGGCAAACCCAAACTTCGGACACAGGAACAACCACACCTCACAATCAATGCTGAAGAAACCTCATCCCTCAAGTCAGTACTCGGAGCAGGCCTATGGCTAGCCAAGGAGACCAGACCCGACTTGGCAGTGCAAGTGAGCCAAGGACAACAGCTTTTGCCGTCCCCGACACTTGGTCAAGCAAAGGCAAAAGCAAACATCAGCAGGAGAGCAAAGCAACGCAAGAACCTGGTATGGAAGATTTTGCCCATTACGCAAAAGGAGGTTCGTTTGTGTGTCCATACTGATGCTGCATTTGCCAATGCCAAACGACAAGGAACACAAGCAGGATACATTGTAGGGATTACAACATCGGCGCTCAAGGAAGGCAAAACAGCACCGTGGAGCCCAGCAGTGTGGAAATCCTACAGACTCAAACGTGTTGTTGGCTCAACACTTGCAGGGGAAACTCAGGCGCTGGCAGACGGACTGGGACACACAGAATGGTTAGCCTGTCATTTGGCAGAGGTCAAGCACTTTCATTTTTCCTTAGCAGAAAGGTCACAATACATCAAGGAGTTCGGCATTCAGGCCATCACGGATTGCAAAAGTGTTTATGACCACCTTCAAGCCTACGCATCCCCCAGAAGTGTAGGAGATAAACGAGTGGCCATAGACCTAGTTATCGTTAAAGAGGCTCTGAAGAGAATGTGGGGACCCATAAGATGGGCACCAACCTGGCTTCAACTCGCAGACGCCCTCACAAAGGAAAACGCAGATGCGATGGATATCCTTAGAGGGGCCATGAAGACCACGGTATACCACCTAAATAATGAAAGTGTCATGCTGCAGAGTGCAGCAGAGCAAAGGGCCTTGAGATCAAGAGGAAAGACAACGAACACCGGGGGTGTCGGCTCAGAGGTGCTTTTAGTGAGTGAGTGGTCCATTGACGAGATCATGGTGAAGGTTCCTACGAAGGGATGTGATGAAGTGGAGATCCGGGCATTGTTCGAAGCAATGGTGGAATGCTATGCCAAGTCAGAGGACGAATGCCAGAAGTCGCTGACTCAGACCAGAGCTAGCTGTCGATGCAAGCTCCCTTTGAGTATGGTGAATTCGAAGGGGGAGAATGGCTTAGTCACGTTCACGTACACAAGGAATACAGATGGTGACCATCCATGCTGGGGCAGCACACTTAGATGTTGTGGAGGACACCTTTGCTTATGTGTTGGACAAGTTCAAGGTGATGATGCAGAAGCAAGAGATCATCCCCATGGTGGAAGGCACCGGAGAGTGGTCGGAAGCTTTCCGGAAGATTCTAGTGCAACCTCACGCTACTTGGACGATGAGAATGTGAAGACAGAGTCAGTGAAAGGAGAAGGAAAGCCACCAATTGCTATGACCCAGGCATTGACACCGCAAGATGAAGAGTTCACGGCCGCGATTGCTGAGCTATGCCACGAAGGTTCCGGCCTGGAGGAACAAGTACTTGCAGGTGATGTGCAAGGAATTCGGAGCTGAGCCCACTCTAGTCATGGAACTCAGTGGATTGACCGAACACTTTAATATGGCAGACGAAGATGAAGGCTGGTCGGTTCCAGTGACTCCTGCAAAAGCAGAAGAGTACCATCCAAAACCGAAGCCAAAGATGGGGTCAGCTTATCCACGCTCGCCATGAGCCATGACGTAAAGAGGGTGAATTGAATCAGCTAAGATTTTTGATGAATGTGTTTTTCACTTGAGCCTGATTCAAGGCATATGTGTTGGGCCTTTTAGGCTCGAGTATGCAGGCCATTGGATGTGGCAGGAACTAGACTCGACGCCCCGGTCAAAAGGACGCTTCGCTTTCAGCCGCAGGGGCGGCTCGGATCTTCAAAGATCGACCAAGCCTTTAAAAATTCCATTTAAGTGCCTGCTCCATGTTTGGGTCTTTACAGGAGTGTCTAATCCTGAATGCATTTTCTTTTCTGTGGGTCTTGAGAGCCTTCCTCATGATATAAAAATGCCAAGCCTCCAGGCAGACATTGAAACCCATGAGACCTGATGAAGAGCACCGTTGAGTCTTTGGATGGACATGCGGGATTTATATAACACGCTAGGCCCGCTAGGCATACGAGGTATGCTTGTGGGGAAACCCTTCAACAATGTTCAACAAACTTGCAGTGGCTCTACCTTTGTACCGAGATTCCTGCTGCTGCTGCTGCTGGTGCTGCTCATTGGAGTTGATCTACCCGATGGTCAATTGGGACGCCTTAAAGAGCTCTTCCTCCTGAAGAGTGTGCCTTTGAAATAATGACTCTCCTTCAGACATCATCTCCCATGTGGTTGGAGACATCTCCCTGCCTAGATCCGAAGAGTTGCACAGGCCTACAAGTTAAACAGTTAAACTGTTTTTGGTGGTCTACTGGTATCAACCTGGCAGACCCTGTTTCTTGCTTTTGGATCTGGACAAGTGGGTTCACATCACCCATCCAACACAAGTCAAGGACTTACAAGCCGAAACCTTCGTCATCGTTCTCAGGAATGCTTCGGTCCATCCGAGTTCAATCAGTTGCCAACAGTCAAGTCTGTTGACATATTTATTTGTCATTCTTGGTCGTGCTCTTCGTGGATCAAGATTTTGGAACCTTGGATCCGGAAGCAGAAGTTGGTGGTCAGGGAATCCGGTGTCTTGTGGGTCTCCTACCCTATCGTGTATGGCTTGAGCGATCTCAATCGTTAAAACCTAGAAGGCCGTTCTGAATGCATGGGAGAATGGATCTTGAAAGGTTAAGGCACTTTAAGACTCTGAAATGCCCCATTCCCCAGGATCAGTGAAAGGCTCTGATCGACTCTTCTCGCATGGGGCCCTGTGAAGGTCCAACGAGGTTGATACACCTGTTGTCCATAGGAATGGAGTACTGTAATACACGATTCAATTATATATATATATATATTCAATCTTCGGCGGTTTAATTTTCTTTTTTGGATTTGCTTCTTTTGCGGCGCAAAGACGTTTTTTTCACTTGAAAGTTCATTGGACCAGAAAGGCTAGCGACACTGAATCCTGATAGACAGAAGCAGGCCCTCCTTCCTTCAATTGGGCGTGCCTTTTCAGACACCCTAGATTTTCTGTATTTCTATCTCATAGGTCTTGACCAGGTCCCTTGGCTTGTTGCTCCCAATCTGAGGCTCTTTGCCATTATTTACACCTGGATTGGGCGGTCACAGCAGCTAGCTTCGTGACCCTTTTGGCGGTCTTCACACTGGTAGTCTGTGCAGGAAGCTTTCATGAAGTCTCAGAGGCTGGTGAGATGGTGCTGAGTGGGGCCTTTGTACCTTTGGCAGTCCAAGCTAGATTCAGACTTTCTCGTTAAAGCTTATTTTTTGAGGAGATTTCCAAGGAGACAGGTGGGTTTGGTGCTTCTCGTCGGTCTTCGTCCTAGTCACTAGTCTCTGTGTTGTTCAAGCGTCGGAATGAGAGAACGTGGCCAGGTCGAAAGAAAGCTTTTGCACGCCACGGTTCTTTGCCAAGGGAGCACTGAACCTGCAGGTTTGTCAAACATGTCAATACGGTCGTTATGATACTTGACTCCCCAAATCATTCATAGGTTTGAAGGCGCCAAAACACATTCTGACGAGCCACCCACTTCCCCACGGGCCAAGCACCACTCGCACGATCCACCTGAGTCTTTGGGCAGCCTTTCCTCTAATTTAGCCCAAATAGCTAGACTTAAGTAAACCACTTAGGCTATCTCTGATGGCTCTGCCAACTGATAAAAAAACAAAAGGCGAAAAACAGCAACTACAAAAGCAAAACAAAAGCAAATGAAAAAGCAAAACACAAAAAGCAACTCCAAGACACAAAAACGAAAAAACAAAAGCAAAAAACACAAACAAATCCCAAAAGCAAAACAACAACTGAAAAAAACTAAAAAACACAACAAAAAAACAAACCAAAAAAACGAAGAAAAACGAACACGCAAAAAAAACAAATAATATTTAAAATAACACGAAAAATACAAGGAACAATAAAAAAACGAAAAGCAACCACAAAAAACAACCGAACCAACAAACAAAACAACACACGAAAAAACAACACATAAGACAATGCAAAACGGAAAAAGGTGGGCAAGGAATAACGAAACAAAACAGAACAAAAACAACGGGAACAACGCAAAAAACACCGAAAAAAACGAACAAAAAACGGAAAAACCATGAAATCTGTTTTTGTTTTTTGTTTTTTAATTTGTTGTTTTTGTTTTTTTGGATTTGTTTGTGTTTTTTGTTTCTTTTATTTTTATTTTTATTTTTGTGTGTGTTTTTGGTTTGTTTTTTTGGTTTTTGTTTTTGTTTTCATGTGTTTTTTCCCCAAACAGTTTACTGTCAGGGGTTCTCAATGCTTTAAAGAATGGTCGCCTTGGTGCTGGATGGTCTGGTCGGGTTCCCGGCCAGCTTGTCTCCCACTTCCTTTCATTTGTCTCCGAGTTCTTTTCATTTGTCTCCCAGTTCTTTTCATTTGTTTCCCCCCAGGCTGGGTGCTTGTGGTCGGGTTCCCGGCTCTCCTTTCAATTTGTCTCCCAGTTCTTTTCACTTGTCTCCCAATTCTTTCATTTGTCTCCCAGGCTGGGTGCTTGTGGTCGGGTTCATATGTCTCCCACTTCTTTTCATTTGTCTCTCAGGCTGGGTGCTTGTGGTCCGGTTCCCGGCTGGCTTGTCTCCCACTTCCTTGCATTTGTCTCCCATTTCCTTTTATTTGTCTCCCGCTTCTTTTGCCTCCCATGTTTGTCACCGCTAATTTCTGCCCTTTTCCGCTGGCCATGCAGCATTTCTATTCATGTCCCAGGTCTGTCACTGCTGGTGTCCGCCCTTCTCCGTTTGCAGGTCTGTCACTGGTGTGTCCTTGTGTATTGGCCATGAAGCATTTCTATTCATTTGTCTGCCAGGTCCGTCACTGCTGGTGCCATGTAGCATTCATTTGTTTCCCAGGTCCGTTACTGCTGCTGTCCGCTCTTTTCCGTTGGCCATGTAGCATTTCCATTCATTTGTCTCCCAGGTCTGTCACTGCTGGTGTCCGCCCTTTTCAGCATTTCTATTCATTAGTCTCCCAGGTCTGTCACTGTTGGTGTCCGCCCTTTTTCCGCTGGCGATGCAACATTTCTATTCATTTGTTTTCGAGGTCTGTCACTGCGTCCGCCCTTTTCCGCTGGCCATGCAGCATTTCTATTCATTTGTTTCCCGGGTCTGTCACTGGTGCTGCCGCCCTTTTCCGCTGGCCATGTAGCATTTCTATTCATTTATCTCCCATGTGACTTCTTTCTTTTTGTCTTTCAGGTTTGGTGCCTGCACTGCTGTTTTCTGCCCTGTCCGCTGGAACAGGTTCGCGTGTGAAAGGTTCTTGCTCCTTTGAAAGGGGTGCGTGACTGTCTCCGGGATTGCATTGCTGCCACACTGTGTAACTCTCTCAGCTTTGTTTTCCTTTTCGGGCAAGCGTTGGATGAATGACCGGATTGGATTTCGGCGGCGTGGCAGCGATCTCTCTGTTCAGTTGGGGCGGAGGGCATACGTCAGGCACCAAGAATCATCCTCATGCTTTTATTTCTTGTCCTCACGTGGTCAGCTGCCCGCTGATTGAGCAGCATGACCAGCATCATGTTCGCACTTGAAGAATAATTCCCCAAAAGGTTTACTGTTAGGGCTTCTCAATTCTTTCTTAAGATGTGTCTGCCCGCTCTGTACTGCTGTGTCCGTCTCTGCCTTGCAATCCTTTACATTTGTCTCCCAGCTCTGGACGTCGCAAGCTCTAGTTTAACTGTTTGGGGTCTACGGTGGTGTAATTTTGATTTGTTTTTTTTTTTTGCGTGTGTTGTTTATTTTTTTTGTAGTTGTTTTTTCATTTTCACGATTTTCAAGATTCACAGAGTTAGCCTGGGTCCGGCGAACATAAAGCTAGATACATGCTTTTGCCATGCCGAAGTATGCATGTAGATGATGTTGGAAACCAATGGTGCTTCCATCCTAGGATTCAGGATATTGCCCTTGCAAACATGCCTGGTAGCCTCATGCCATGCAAAATGATGGTTTAGGATTAGATCAAAAAAGTGCTCTGGTGCCAGGTTGTTTGTTTTGAAACGCATCAATCCTTCCTCACCGTTCCGTAACGGCCTTTACGACAGCTACCCGGTCCGTCTCTACCTTTCGTGTTTCCCCGCTCAAGTTCCTAGTAGAAAGGAGCCTGTCTTCTGCCGAGGTATGGGGTCCCGCGGCAATTTTCTTTTCAGTCTACTTCTTCGGGCATTTGCCACTCAGCAGGATATGAGAGTACATGAATGACTACATGGTTGCTAGAAAACAACCAATTACTTGGGCATGGAGTTGTTCCAAGACGTGACTGGTGGTGAAGGCTCCACACAGAACGAGTGGTTTATGCCACTGATCCAGATATTGGCCCTACCTACCTCAGAGGATAGCAACATGCAACATCTTTCGAACACTTCATGAAGGTGCTTGCAAGGGTGGCATAGTGTGTGTTAGGACCCCGGAGCCAGAGAAACCATAGTTATGCATGTTCCAAAAAAAGAGACCTCGGCTTGATTCGAACGTCTTCTGACAGAATTATCTCTTCCTTGAAGTACAATAATGTCTGTCTAAGTATATATATATATATATCTATTTTCTTCATATTTTTCTATATACTATGATCAAACATATCGTCTTGTTTGAGCAAGTTGTTTGCTCTGGTAGAGTCCATTGGTCTGTAGTCTAAAGCTTGTGATTTTGAACTTGGATGATCTAAAGGATGCGATTCACCAAATCCTCCTTCAGAGTGAGTGCAGGCCCTTCGCTTTGGGCAGCAGACCATGGGATTGGAGAACATCCCTGAAGCTAGAACCATTCAGAATGGTCCATTCTGTTGCTCTTTTTGGGTTGAATGCAAACGATTCAAACTTACCCCGTTCCTCCTAGAAGGTCAAGTTTGAAGGTTGAAGGTAGATTCCAAGGCCACAGGAATCAACGTCAATTCAATAGGACTTCAACAGGAGTCAAAAGGAAGCAGGTCAATTCAAACAGAAACAACATCAACTAACAGACTGCTTAACTCGATTCTTCATGACAATGCCTGTGATTAGTCGGGATGGGCAGTACAACAAGAGGTGGCAAGGGCTGAAGGGGTACCATTTGCGAGCTTTTCAACCAATTGATATTTGTTTTGTTGGCACATTTGGGTACACACATGCGTAGCAAGTTAAAACTATTTTGAGGTTAGCAATTGCTACAGTTTCAACAAGACAAGACTCTTCACAAGACACAAGACAACAAGACTCGCTACCAATCCCCTTCCGACTCCAGACGATCGTCCAAGGTTGCGCAGCAAAGCCCTTTGGTTTGACCGCATTTGCGTGAACCAGGTGGACCTAGCGCTGAAAGCCCAAACAATCCAAGGAATCCCTGCTTTTGTTTCGCAGGCAGCACGGATGGTATTGTTGTGTTTCCAAAATGTCGACTTGTGCAAATTGCAGCTTGGGGCATTGTGGGTACCGAGAACGATGCCCAGTTCAATGGTCGCGTTGAAGGGTGTGACCAAACCCCTGCCGCAGCAGAACGCGCTGCGCTTGCCCATGCTGTTCTTGCCGCCCACAGAGCCCAGGTTCCTGTAAGGTTACTGATTGATAACGACGCCATTGTCGAGAGGTCTTGTACTGGGTGCTTGGCATGGCGACGTGCCAGCATTTTGGTGGCATATTGCCAACCATGTTACTTTTGGGATTGATGCCATGTGGATCCCCTCCCATGATAAGAACCCACTTTGGGCACCTCAGGTGGATTGGGGTCTCTCAGTTTCGCACTGCCGTAGACTTAACGCAGCGGCTGATGCAGCTGCAAAGGAAATCACAGGCCAGTTATGGCTGACCTTTTCTAACAATTGCTTGGAAATTGTTGCTGCCCATGCGTGGGCTGGTCATGCATTTACTGCACTGAGAAAGTGTACATTTGCTTTCCACGAGCATTTTGACCTCATTAATGCAAGCATGGAGCAATCCTGTTGCGGCCGAAAATCCTTGACACATGGGTTTCAGTTCTTGCCTTTGCCGTCCCTCGGTAGGGCACCTACTGAAAGTTTACTTGTCTGTTTGACGGCCCAGGAACCTAGTTCTGGGCCCAAAACTATTTTGCCTGCAGTCTCGCCACTGCCACCCTCGGCTGTTTAACCATGGTCTCGCCCGGCAGGTTACAGTCTACATCTACATCTACATGAGAGTTTTTTTTCAAAAATTGTGGTGCATTTATGAACTGGCTGTCAGAGCCAAAGCCCGGAGCTTTGCATCAATGGATTTCGCCCCCGTGTGGCTTCCAATCTTTTGCTTGTGTAACATTATCACGTATCTCCTTGGTGCCTTGATGAACCTTCCCTGGAAACTAGAGCCTGTGGAAGGGGACCAAAGCTCATGCTTCACACAGCTCTTTTGGTTGATCTATGGCTCTCCTTTATTGTACTTCTTTTCCGCAATTCCTATCACCTACTTTTGCTTCCTGAAGCTCGAATCCCACAAGACCATGCTGGATCAGATGGCCTCCTTCGACCTGAGAATGGCCAGATGCTCTTTGGAAACTGACCGAATCATGATCAGGCGACAAGTCTTGGGCTTTTTCGATGAGGCCTTGCGACCTCCTTTGTCGGTCTCTGTTGACGAGCTACTTTCTGCTCACGCCAAGCAAACCTTCAATCAAGAGCAAGAGCTTGAGCATTCCGAGCATGAGTATCCAACGGAGCCAAACCCTTTGGAGGAAGAGGATTGGTTGTTGGCGTGGGGGCACAGCGGCTTTCGCCATGTCACGAGCTACCCGTCGCAGGAGGAGATTATTGATGAGTTCAACGCCTATGTGCGAGGTCCATTGCGAGAGAATGTCGTGCGCTCTTTTGGCCGTGAAGATCACATCCCTTTCAAGGTGTGCTTAGTTTCATGCTTGCCATGCTTCGGCACGGGATTAGCTCTCATCTTAGGCTGTGATGGCCATCGTGATTGCCAACTTGCGGCACTAAGTCTGGGTTTCAACTCCGTGATCCGGTATCAGGTCACTAACGCGATGCTCGTTTTAACATGTTTTAGCATGCTTCTCAAACCCGCAGACTCGATCTTGCAGAGGGGGAGTAGAAGCGGGTGTAAGCATGTATCAATGTTATTTTGATTTTTTGGGGTATTTTCGCTTGTAAAAAGGCTCACTCTCCGAGGACCATGACTCTCGTGTTGTGGCCTGTGAGTAATCTCGTGGTTATGCCCTTGCTGCTGCGAAGCAACCAACTTGTCACCGAGCTGAATTGGGTGATCACGGGGCGCCAACAAGCAAATGTTCCATCAAGAGCACTCGTCCCGTGATAACCCGTTTGTTCAAAATGCACCTGAAACAGAGTTGTCCACGGGCCTTGCAGACTTGTTCTTTTTGAGAAACTTGGGTCCAGTTTGGGTCCAAGCGGAAAAGGCTAAGGAATCAGCGGCACGACTTAGACTCAGACTTAAGCCTGTAAAGTGATGTCCATCTATAGCTTCTGTTGTTTTCTCATTTTTTTCCTGAGTAATATGCTTTTGATCAGCCAACATCACAAAAATTGTTTGGAACTGGGACCCAGAACAAAGAGAGCGCTTGAAATTTGGCAGCCTTATCCTGGACACGTTGCTTTTCCATCAGGATTTATGAACGCTTTAGATTAGAACCATGGCTGTTGCAGGCTGCAAATCAGCGTCTGCATATTCCTTGCCAAACCGGATACCTCTAAACGTTGGTTCTCCCGTGATGTTTGAAAGTCAATCAACGTAGCACAGTACTGTAGCAGCTGAAAAACGTTCTGGTGAACACCTTTGGATTCATTCTTGTTCGAGAGCCTTGCAACTAACAGGCACTTCCAAAATCGTATGTAAGGCTTAGTTTGATCTCGCATGCAAAATAGAGAGCATATCTAGGCAGCGAGGGTAGACGCTCCCTTGTACTTGTTGAGATGTGTTTAAACATTTTTCAATCTGAGGTTGCAAGAGTGGTTAGCAGTCCGTCCTTGCGGTTCTTGACAGGGCTATTCTTCTCTTCAAGCGTTGTTAGCTTGAATGCTTGCATTGGCAGTGTACTGTCTGCCATGTTTCCCAGCTTTATTCATCAAATGCGACCAGTGGGAAATGGGTCTATTGAGGGGACGACCAGTGCACTCAATCCAGTGACTGGTTGAACCTTCTCATCTAGCTTGCTTTCATCATGTGCGTCACCTTGTTCCAGTGGAGAGTCAAGTAGTCTTGGGCTTAAAACATGGGATCAGAACATGGAACAAAACTAGACACAGGAAACACTGCTCCAAGTATATAGTTGTTTTTGTTCAACGACTGAATATTAGCCCAGCCCTGCCAAAGAAGCTGAACATCACCCTCACCACAAACTTCAAAGAAGGTGATCAAGAAAGCAAGCCTCAACCCTGGAGAGGTAGTGTGGTTTCTGTTTGATTTTATTGCCCTTGCAGGAGACTTTTTGCTGGGTTGAACCATGTATATAGTTCAACATGCTCTCAACGGGCGGACGACCCGGTCCCTACGTTGTTCAAAGCTCAAGAGGTTAAATTAACCTAAGCAGGAATGCAAGATGCGCAAACTTACGCCCAAGACTCACCGTATGCAACTGCTCATTAATCTGAAATGGATGTTTTACAGTTTACAGTAAGAATGATCAAGTGACTCAAGTTATCAGCAACTCCACGATATGAACGACAATGCAAAGCGAACTCCATGCGAATAACCCCAAAAGCTAAACACAACACCCCAATGATTCCATGGTTCATTGGTGGGCGGCCGGACGGTCGGTTTTGGACCAAAGACGTTGGGTGAACTTGCATGTCTCCAACTTGGCACTGAGGTTGCTGGTTGGTGCAAGCGACGCGACAGACACCTCACCACTGTGGTTGTTTGGAGCTTGTGTGGGTCTCGTTTTGCAGTTCCTGCTGGCGTTTAGCTTGTTTCTGGGAAGCCAATGAAGTCATTCAAACCAGCGAAGTCTTGCGAAAGCAGGGACTTGAATCGCGGCATGTCCAGCAAGAGCTTTACGGCAAAGAAATGGCGCGATATGCGTGTTCTTCAACACCTTGAAGATCCTTGAAGTAGTGAAATGAGCTGCGAAGATTTGCAGTGAAAAGTATCATTTGCGATACAGGAGCGGTCAAGTCATGGAGTGCATCATTTAGAGACATGTTAGGAGTTCAGCTCTAAGGAACTAACCCCCGCCTTCATGAGACCCTGTTAGCATGCTCATGGGCAATTCAAGAATTTGGATGAAGTACGCTGACTGTGACTGTCACTGATTTGTGGGTTTGAAGTTCAAGGAAGGTTTGCGCCATGCAGAGGGCTTGAACCCAACAAACTTTTGCCACCTGATATGGCAAGCTTGGAGTCTGGAACCCAACTCACTCTGCCCTGCAAAGAAATATGGGACTGGATGTATTCGATAGTCATCCCTCTTTGAGAAGCAGATACCCTCCCAAAAACAACAACTAAACTGTCAGTTCTCACCGCAGCCGCTGGATTTGGGGGGATTGCCAGTTACCGGTTCTCCTGGCCAGGTGCTGGGCCTCCGGAGGGTGCGCCATGAGACGAAGACGACAGTGGATTTCATCTATGAGTTGGAGGATCAAGTTGGATTTCTATAAGTTGGGTTCATTTTTCAGTGGAGTTGGAAGAGATTGCCTCTCCTTTCTGCAATTTGAGGATCAAGTGTTACGCTTTTGTGATGTGGAGTCTTCTAGTCGGGATGTTTGCCGCTCTTTACTTTCAAATTCGGGAACAGTTTGACTAGGTAGTGGTCGAATCTCCATGCTAGTTCTTGGAGTTGTTGGAGATAAGGAGCTACCCTGGACATAGAGTCTTTCCTACTTTTGCAAATCCAAGCAGAATACAACGCGCAAAAACTGCAAACTATCCTGCTCCTGAGGGGAGTCTTGCAGGTTGGGTTAGCCTCAAGGTCTCTGGGAAGGCTGGGCTGGAACATGTCAGATAGGTCCTGTTGAAACACAGGTGAACTGGCCTACTATATGAAACATACATATATATATATATACTTGGGTGCTCGTGGGCGAGTATTTAAATTGAGTTCATACCACATACTCATGGTGTAGTCGTTAACATGGTAGGTAACATGGCTTATCCAGCCCCAGAATGGGGGTACGACTTGTTCAACTATACTGGTACTGTTTTGGATGCACGGATGGATAACAAACTGCGATCTGCATGATACTGTAAACATTTTTGCTGTAGTGACTGTAGTGGTTATCACAAGTCAGGTGGTTATAAGTTGTATGGACCTGTCAAAACATGGTTGTGAGGTTCAGTTACTTTTTTGAACCGTCTTCGCTTCACCAATTCCTACGTTAAGAACACTTCCCCTACGTGAAATACGTGCGGCAGCAGACAGGGATCCATAGGTGATGATGCACGATGATGTTCGGATGTTACAAGTATGCATTGCGGGCATGGCAGGATCCATGGCCAAATTGACATATTGGATCGACCTGGCAAAGGACTTTGTCATCTTCCTAACATACAACCAGGCCTTCTTCCTTCTATCCAAGACTGGGTGGAGTGAGTGGCCCAATTTCCCAGGTTCATCCTCTTTTTCAAAGATTGTACAATAGAACATAATAGAACCTTGTCTCTGAGATGCCTTATCCTTGGAGCCGACTTGGTAGGTCTTGCTGTCGCCACTGGTGGAGGCATGGTCAGCAATTGGTTGTGCTTTTGCCCAACATTGCGACCTTTTCTCCACTGACCTCTAAGCTATTCCATCCAGCCACAAATCCGGAGTTGCCAACATGTTCTTCTCTATTCGTCAACATAACTCATCGCACATGATTTGGTGAATTAGGCCTTGAACTCAAAGAATTAGATAGGTCAAGCACTCGAAGGAGATCTTTGACTATTTAAGTCTTGGGGCTTGGCCGTGCCTATCCATGCAGCAGCGAAGGCAGAAACGGCCAGCGCCAAAGATGAAAGCCTTGCCCTGAGCATTGCTTGCTTTGGTCCGAAACCGACTCTGAGTGATGAGTCGTGGACCTGGCAACCATGTGTTTCCGTTGTCCAAATCTTCATTGTTTTTCCATGTGTGCCATATGAAACGCCTGTTAGCATGTAACCAGATCATCATGGCTTTGGAGGTGGGTCAACTTAGCTCCAAAGATTTCGTTGGCTCTGCAGCTCTCCGCCATGGGAGATCCTCTTTGTGAGCGTGGCTGTGGTCGTCAGCGCTTCCGGCACTTCACAACCTGTTTCTTTGGCTGACATTGTGGAAGTTGATGAAGAGGGGTAGATACACAGATACCCCAAAATATCTTCCCGCTCTTTACACAATTTGCGGAAAAGACTTACCGGGCCCGGCCATGAGGGCTTGTCAATATTGTGCCTTCCAAAAGGAGTTAAGGCAGATGCACGCTTGCGCTTGGGGCTCCCTTCTTATTCTTGAAGCCACACTCATCGTATGAAAGCCATTTCTTGGTCATAATGAAGTGGCCTTGCTTGGCCGAGCTACGAATCGCCCTGCTTAGATTGCTGACATCAAGCTTCAGAGTAGTTGGTGCAGTTCCCAATCTAGGTCATTCATATGGAGCCCCTTCTCCAGTGCACTGGTATGCAATGGTCAAGCAGGTGTGTGCCATCTACCCTGAGTGGTACATGCCATGTTCATGCTTGTATTCTCCTGAGCATCAGCTTCAAAATCCTTGTGAACTCATGCTTTGTGTGCTTTGGGGTTTGTTTTTGGATGCAATGACAAGACGCCAAAGGAATGACAGCCCAGAGGGCAATGGACAAGACATAGCAAATGGCTTTGGAAGTAGCTGAGGTTGCACACATTGCAAGGGGCCTGACGGGAGTCATGCGCGGGACTGCAACGCCAGAAGCGCAGGACGACTTGTTGGTCTTGGATGAACCTGTACAAATTGGCATAATTGGACAGTATATATACAGTATACACAGAGTATGTATGTGTGTTAACAGCAAAAGAAAGCTGCTTGGACGTTGGGTCAGGGCAGATGCTTTGCGCATAGAACAGGCGCATGCCACGGACTAGGGATCAAGATGGCTTGTCACAAGCAGAGAACCAGAGATTGCATCGTAACACCATCTCTCATCAGGGTGGCCTCCAGCTGATTGGTAGACCTCACGAGGTAAACGCATGTAAACTGTCTTGGGATTTTCCGCTTGTGCGATTTGCAGTTTGCTCCAAAAGGTGATTTGTCGCCTGTGAATTTTGTCCTGACAGGACTGGAAGAGACTTGCCACAAACTTGACCGACCCTGGTGGTGACACGAAGCAGCTGAGCGTCTCCCTCTACTATTGCCATTGCCCCCAGATTGTTTCTTCAAAATTGACCCCAGGACTTTACGGGCTCGCTTTGGGGTCAGTTTCTTGGTGCAAATCCTTGTGACAGGAGTACAGTATTTGCCAGTTCTTCTAAGGACTATGCTCCCTTGACCCTGAGTGAAGGGATCAAAGATCCACGTCTGCAGAATTAAGTTTGGTGATGCCGGCTGAGGATGGTCCCGCTTGGGCTCGGCCAGACTCTGTCCCCGAAGGATTCTGCAGGGAGGGCTGCGGTCGAAAGGCAGCGAGTGGATTGAAGAGTCTGGGATTGAAGTAGTTACGATGGCCTCCAAGTTACTAGCTATGGCCTCCAACCTAGTTAAACATGCACAACGGTTTTGTTCCTCAGACTGGCTGAACCAGTTTGTGCCCAAACTCACGGAGAACAAAGGAAAGTGGAGTTAGCTTGTAACAACGTTTCACGATTTGGGCGGGCTGAGATATAGATTTTGGAGTCATTGTGTCTCAAATCAAGATTTGCGAGCTATGGCGTGGTAGACGGGTCCGATGTATCGACGTACATCCGCCTTCCATGTATAGACTCAGACCAAGCTAATAGTAGACATCTGCTGGTGGTGGTGGTCATCGTTCACCCACACAATTATACACCTTTAAGCTAGTCAGCCGAGGAAACCAAGCCTGCAAGAATGCATTGGAATGCCCCTATGCACTTATAAACAAACCAGCTCAGGTCTTGCTGCAAGAGAATCTCGTCGAAATAAACGAGTCCCAAACTGAAACGCTGAAGATAGCTTGGGTTGCAGTACATTGTCCTTTGCTCTTAGGAAATCTCCAGAGGTTTCATGTGTCGATGGACCAGCGATGCCATTGCAGCCCATGAGTTCCATTGGGAAGATGTTCTTGGAGGAGGTTGAACACCAATTCCAGCAATCTGAGGCTGCCCCTTCCTTGTCGAGAAGTATGGTCGACCCGGTCACGACTGCAATTGTGCCTGGGTTGACTTTGGACTTGGGCCTTCAGGTTTCTGGAGACAAGTGCATCGCCACTGGTAACAAGTGCATTACTACTACAGTAACAAATAGCTTCTTGTTACTAGTCGCGATGCACTTGTTACTAGTAGCTTCTTGTTACTGGTAGTAAGGCCAGGAGCCCCTACGTAGTAGCGTCCTTGCTCCTAGTAGCGATGCCAGGAGCCCCTAGTAGCGATGCCCTTGTATGTGGGAGGGCGGTAGGACATCAATGAGGTTCAAGCTTAGTCCTATTCAACCGTCTCTTGGACGCTGAGGTGACATTCAGCATGATGGAGGAATGACTCCTCCTTGGTACTGGCGCGTCATGAGCAAGCCAAGCAGAGCAACCTGGCCAATGCTTTTTGTGAAATGCCAATGCTCCAGTCGGCCTCGGAATCTAAGCATATGTATGCATTTGTTTGGTTTCTGAACTGCTTGGCTTTTGTCAAAGAACTCATGGATGCAGCCGCCTTGCAGAACTGAATCGCAACTTTGCGCCAAAAGAGTGATTCCTTTTTGTACCCGGTGGTTTGAAGGCCAACAATGGATTGATTATTTTATCCCTTCATTTTGGGCGCTTCAAACTTTCTTTTCTCAACCTAGACAGGTGGGTTTTGCGGTGAGACTAAGGAGGCAGCGTTTCACGAAGAGGTGGAAGGACACTACATCCAGACCTTGGGCACCAAGAGTTTTGGCTGATGTTGTACAAATAGGGTCTACGCATGTTGATCCGCAAAACACTTTCCAACAATCGGTTTTGACTGTTGTTGGGAACAGTCCAGTGTCAAAGTGTTCACAAAGTGCTGGTTCCTTCAAGCATGGAACACTTTCACGCATTCTTTGGGGTTCGATGGCAACTTGTGCATTGTTCAGTCTCGTTATATACTCTTGTGGCAGTCTTCCTGGAAGGCACCTATTAATTTGTATTTTTTCCCTTGGAATATCGTCCCTGCTTGGCAAAGTAACGTTTGAGTTGAAGACCTTTCGTCAATGTTACTATGAGGGGAAAACATATACAGTACTTCTTGTTATCAGGCTTCACCTTCCCCACCGACAGACGGGAAACCATCAACTGTGCAGAGAGGTGCCAATCCCTTTCTCAGAGTGTTTTTTCCTGCCCTGAAGAAGATTCAACGTGCCGGCACCAGGTTCCATCGATTTACAGAAAACGTGCTTATTTGTTGGTTTGATTGATTTTGCAGTTATTTTTGTTGGTTGCTTGTTTGTTGATGTCACATCATCAGAAAGTCTGATGTGTTTGTTTGCTTGTCAGCCGAATAAGGCTGGTCCAGCAGACATTGCCCACACGGCGAGTGGTGAAGTGTTTGCGCGTAGAGGATTCACTTCTTTGGGTCGCTGTGACTGAGGGTTGGGCAAGTGTGCTGGGGCGAGGCGGAAAGGATTTGGTCAAGCGCTTGGTTCTTTTGCGCATAGAATTCGGCATGGGGGAGGCAGAGTGAGGCAAACAGAGTTGAGTTTGACGTACCCGTCCACCCATCATTACAACCATCCTGGAGCACATGTGCTGTGAAGGTCAGTCTCCAAAGGTAGAACTGCACTCCAAAAGAACATGGTCCTAGAACCCCAGCGTTGCTCGAACCATGATCCAAGCATAAACATGTCAGGTCTATTTATTGACTGAGTCAGCGTTCGGTACTTATGAATGAACCAAGTTAAGTCTTCTGAAGGCTTAGCAAACGATGCCAGTTAAACCATGTGATGAATGAATAATTCCAGTGTCATAGTCTTCGGGACCAAGCTCGTGTGGAGGCTCCAGTCCTGTGCATTTGCAGATGTTGCATGATTTTGCAGTGTTTGGATGTTTTTGCCATGTTTTGGCGATGTACCCAATACGACGCTTTTGGAGCTACTCTGTACGCCCTTATTCTGTTAAACTTTTGTATTGGTCAGCACGAGAAAGACTCTAAGGATGCATACGCGAAGAAGCGCGCTGAAATTCGCGCACGCGCCCCACCACAACTGGACTTGAAGCCGGAAACCTACCTGCAGCTGTCCTACTCTGCTTTGAGCACGTGTCGTGCCTGAAAGTTTTCATAGAACACTGCAATTTACCATGTCAGGAGCTTGCCTTGCAATAGATATCCAGGATACCTCAAGCAAAGGTACACTGCTTTGTCTTCGTTACTTGGCTCCCAAGAGAGCACCACTGAAACAAGACTGGGGGGACCATTTCACCTTGACCACTGACCACTCCTAGGCAACTCTCTGTGCATACTATGCTTTAAGGCCTGGACACTCCCCTAACCCCACAGCTCAAGAGAGTACGATCGGGATGCGTATCGGGGGCATCGATGGCGCTCAGCTCAAGGTTGGACACAAAGGTCAATGAAGTGTGGCACCTCTCCTGCATTGGACCGTTGTCCGAGTCCACAGAGCAGGTCGAGCTCCTACAAACATGAAACTGAACATCATCCACAGTTCCAGAGGGCACACCTGACTGTCTCATGTATTTCTTTTCGTTTTCTTGTTGATGTACCGGCTACCCGCCCTCCCAGTACACTTCAATTGCTGCAGTGGCTAAGCGAGGAAGGCATCATAAGTTACAGTGATTATTTGGGTCCCTCACTGCAGCAAGGGATAGCAAGGGTATACATATAACATCATATATAACTATGTGCTTGTGTAGTTGCCCGTGTGTACCGATTGCAGACAGACCTGGCATATTACATCTGAACTTACTCCTGTGTCGCAATTCTACAATCTTCCGCAAGCTCTTTGCACCGCCGTCTTACTGTTCTCAAAATCTATATAAGTAGCCTCACCGTCACCAATCGATTTCCAGTGATTTGCGTGGATCAATCAAACACCCTGGCCCCGGCCATGTCGAGGCTTTTCCATGGGACCAGCGAAGAGGCTGCAAAGTCCATTTGCAGCAGCCAGTTCAGACTTCCCACCTCGGCGTGCCATGGGTCCTTGTTTGGCAAGGCAGGTGGCAGGGTAGAGGTTTCCAGAAGCGGGACACAATATGCCGGACGCCCTCAATCCCCGAGCGAGCCAGTTTTGATACCTGTCACGTTTCTGACTTTTCCAAACGATCCTAGAGTGACAGAGTCTGACAGAGTGTGTTGTCTCACAGGTCCAGACAGTGGAGCCATGGAACCCTGAAAACTTTGGGCTTTGGCGGCACAAGTTACCACCCACAGCAGCAAGCAATAGTTTAGTCCCATCCAGATGAAGATTGAAGTGCCTAAGGCTAAGCCGCTTGACCTCTAGTCACTTTTAGCCAACAATAGTTCAGTGAACCAGCCTCACTTTGCTGGAGTTGGTTCAGATGCTTGTTGCATCGCAGATTACTTTCTAACTTCCAAACCAAACCTGTACTGTATATATGTATAGACTTTCACCACACTCCAGCCACGGCATTGATGCACTGTCTATGACGCCTGGAAGATGACGAACTCCCGTTTATATCATTCTGACTCCAACCATTCACCTGTGGAATCACAACAGCCGATTGGTGTTGGCCCCCGTATCAATGCTCATCCTGCCCCTGAGGGGGTTTACTTTGCAGATCGGGCGGAGAAGAGTCACCAATACACCACCAAGAACCACCAGAACCTCCGTGTGATTATGCTCTGCCGAGTGATCCTGGGACACGTGCTGGAGCTGTCGACGAGAACGGATTCCAGGGCACATGAGACCATAGAGGCGACGGAGGGACGAATCGGACATTAACGTTACTAATAGTAACAAGTGCCTCGCTAGTAGTAACAAGTGCCTTACTAGTAGTAACAAACAGCTATTAGAATTAAACTCAGACAGGCCCGCAGACTCCCTTGGCCGCCCTTCGCCCGTAGAGAACTTTTGTATGGGACCTTTTCATGCCTCCAAAGCCGCTCACCCAAATTCCAAAGTATACTACTCAAGGAAATGAAAGGCTCATAAGGTAACTTTGGAAGATCCTCCACCAGCTCCCTGAAGGGCACAGACTACACCTGCGTGCTTGGCTGTGCTGACGGAACGAACAAGGAGTTCGTTGTGTTCGACGTTGCTCAGGCGAGTGAAGAACAGGGGAATAGTTGGACGTCCAAATCTGTTCAACTACTGTTTTGCCTTGGGATCTCAAAAAACATCAAAAAACGATTTCTACGAATGGGGTTTACTGGGATGGTCGCTTTTTTGGACAGGAACTCGATTCTACGTTGAACGTATGCAGAAGTCGTCCCATGAAGGAACTCCGAAAGTTCCAAAATCTTCAGTTTGCTGCTAGTAGTAATGCCCTTGCTACTAGTAGCTTCTTGCTACTAATAGTAACGCCCTTCCGAATCCCACGATTTGGCGAAAATGACAAAGTACTGATTTTGGCAAACCTCAGCCAGTCCTTTGTTCGCCCAATGATTCCTTTCGGCTTCACCGAAGGGTTTTCGGTAGTCTTTGCAGAACAATTGCGAGACCGTGATTGTCAGGTCTACCCTGAATACCTCATGTTCTATTCAAAGCCTGGCGGTGAGCCTACTGATTGCAGCCTACAATGATGAGCACTGCCTCAAGAGACCGTAAGAGACGGGTTCCGGAGCATTTCTCAAAGGCGGTCAAGGTGCGGAGGCAATCCAATCGGAGCTGATCATTGGCAGGTATTGGTACACGACCGTGGCTTTGTGTGGATGAAGAGCTGCTTGACAACGTGCAGGAACTTGTTGTAGCTTAAGCATTAGACCCAGCTTTGGGCGCTGCACAAGCGAAAGCAGCACCAACCCTGTGAAATGCAAGATCAAAACCAGCAGCGGCAGTATGAGGAAGAGGAGGACAAAGTTTGCCAGGACATAGACGGGATTTCAAGAGGGTGAGATTGGATGAATCCAAGATGGATTTAAGCACATGTGGTGGTGCCGGTGCATTGAACGCTTGCTCTTCGCACTTGCGACCTCAGAAGGCTTGGCGTTTCAGATGGAGAACTTGCCAAGAAACCTGCTGGCTTTGATTTCAAAAAGGTGAACTGTCAAGCTGCTGGAGCTGCATTTCACTGGAGGTTCTTTTGTACCATGACTTAGTTCTCCTGTCTTTTGGGACGAAAGTTCACGCCACAGGGCCCATGCGAAGACCAACATCCCGTGCTGAGGTTTTGACAAATGGCAGGTTCTGGGAGTTGAAGCTGGATCTGAGGCCCGACCCTCGAAGCGTATAATTTAGGCTCTACAGCGTCCTTGCTCCTAGTAGCAATGCCCTTTGTTACTAGTAGCTTCTTGTTCCAAGCAGTAATGCCAGGAGCTACTAGTAGCTTCTTGCTGTTAGGAAAGGTTCAGACTATATAGAGCAGATAGTGCTGCCACGCTGCCACCCAAAAGAACAAGCTAGGCCAAAATGTGTTTCTCATGGGAGACTGCTTCAAATCCAGATTTGTGGATTTCACCACTGCACATTGTATGTTACAAAGAGATATTACACATATTACAAAGATTTGCAAAGAGTATCACTTTCAAAATCTTATACATAATACATTTGCGCAGATTGAATTCGGAAAAACTGCCAACTGACATGATCATTGAGGCTTCCAAGAATGAAGCTGAGATGAGCCCCTCAGAAGCATATAGGTCCACATAAGTCACACACGGCTTAATCTGGTCCGTGGAGAACCCAGTTGCCACCGAAACGTGGGAACTATCGGGTGCCTTTGCCAGGCTCATAATTGATATGTTTCTTTTTTTGGTACTGAAGGTGTCTATTCCAGATAAGCCAGGCAAGCACTTTGGCTAAATGCCGGCCGTTTACAGTTCAGGTCCCTCCCTTTGACGGCAGCGCTAGCAACGAAGCTCCCCAGGACGGATTTCCGCCCAGAAGATCCTTTCAGCCAGCGGAAGGCCCTACGCGGCCGGGAACCCCATGACGAAGCAGCTTTCAGAGGTTTCGAGATTCCTCGACAGATCTCTGAAGATATGTTGGGAGTCACCCCACCTACAGTAGATTTGCTGCATTTGCATTTGTATGCGTTTGTTTCTTTATTGTATTTCTTTTTTTGAAATTGTGGAACACCAGCAAATTTTGCAAAGGCAGACTAGAATGATATATATATATAAGATATACATACACGTATAGCGAACTCAACATCCTGGGTGACATTTGAATGGCAGAACCTGGCTCCGGTTAACAGGTTCTCCACTTGCAGGGCGCCAGTTCTAGTTTGGTCAAATGCAAAAATAGAAACTGTGCTTAACTTGGAGTCAACTAACAACATACATTCCCCAGGAAGCAGGAAGGTACTGCGATATATTGTGCTTGTGCAGATTGCAGATCGTTTTGTTTCCGGCAGACTTTAAGAGGATGTTTGGCACAAAGTGTTGTGCACTCAGAACTGCTCCAACCCAAAAGATTCATGAGTCATGAGCATTCTGCGACACCTTGTCGTTTTTCCACCCAAAGCCCACGATCCGTGTGAAACCATGTTAAGCCTTTTTGCATCTTTTTGCAATGTGTCCCCTGAGCAATCCAATGTCGCGACAGGCCAGACGTTCCACTTATGGGCCCCTTAATTACTCACGAAAAAAGGGTTTCCAACGGTGTTGAAATTGTGCAATGTTGAAATGGATTTCATGTTTCTACCCTTGTAGCTATTAGGTTGAAATTAGGTTAATTTTGATGCGTTTTGTGTCGAGGTCTTGGGCCTCCAAGCGGGAGCCAGTAGCGCCGCCACGCGGTGCGGCGGCGTACGGGGTGCGTTGTTGCGGAGCCGATGGTTCTCCAAGCGGGGGGTGTTGGTTTTACTGGATTTGTAGTGATGGACTGGTGTTGAAGATCTCCAAGTTTGGCGAATCTCCAAAAGTCTCCAAAGCAATGCAAAAAGTTTCAAGATGCATCGGAGAATCAACAGATGCTACATTTTGACTATGGTTGTGTACGTCTGCAGGAGCTACCTGACTGAGTATGTGATTCTCTAAAAACCAATGTTTCACAAAAAAGGCAGCGTGAAACCCAAAGTCCAAGACAAAAGAGATAGTTAGAGTAAGATGATGTAGGATGTGTTCACCCTATCTGGAACTTCGAGACAAGGTGACCACTCAAAACAAAAACTGTATAATATTTATATTTATTATACAATGTACAAATATACTGTAGTGGGTTTAAACCACGGGGTTGTCAGTGGTGTACATACACAAAAATTGTCCACATTCTCTCAGGAATTGGATATCAGACTTTGCCCGCTGTCCAAACGACCCCCGTGTAGGACGGAGGCCGTTGCCCACACACACACACACACACATCCTGGTGGTGTGTTTATGGATTGACCACGGCGTTTCTGCTTTTGACAGGCGGGCGTACCATTGCCTGGCATTGCTCCACCATCCCGACAAAGGCCCACGTGGCTGAAGATGCTTATTTTGGAGTGCTAGGGCACTTGTGCCCGTGCCCCAGGGATGGTTTTACTTTCTGACACCCGGTTTGTCATTCAATCAGACAGCCAAGATCATGGTACATGAATATCCTACAGTATCCTGTGATTCGTTGATACTGACCCATGACCCGGGAATGTTTCGATACGAGTATTTCGTCCAGGACTTTGTGCTTTGAACCCACCGCACTTGTTCCCGACGTCCTGTTGGAAGAAGCACCTGAACAAATCAGATGGTTTTGCGGATTCCTTTTTGCCGTTGAAAGGGCCGGTCCCCACCACTATGGCTTTTCCTGACACTCACAAGAAGGCATCCATCTTCCAATGTATTTGACATCTTCCAACAACCTGGTCTGGGGTTCGTAAATCTGATGTTGAATCGGGTATGTACGTAGTCACAATCGAATTGGCGCCTGGCAACACACCTCAAGAATCAAAAGGATGTGTTCTCATTTGGCACAGGCGGCGATGATGCAGTCTTCAAAGCGATTGCGGATGCATATAAAGCTTTGACAGAGGCCTTGGCACTTGGAACACCTGCATGGGGATGGACGGTCGGGCCAAGACACTGGGTCACAAGGACACTTGGAAGAAGCTGCGGGGCCTAGAAGCCACGGGCAGATGGCTTTCAGACCCACTTGGGGAGGTTTGGTTTGGGGAAAACGCGGAAACTTGAGCAGACACATGTTCACAGGAGAACTGTGTGCGCCCTTTGATTTGCTTGCAACCTGCAACTATCTACTACTGTCCTGAATATCAACATCTCAAGCTTGACGAGCCATTCATAGTCTCTTCTGGCCATCCACAGTTGACTACTTTGCATGTCCATAATTGACGGTTTGATTTTATAGTGCTAAAATATGCTAAAATGCGGGGACCAACCCCCTCAAAAAAAGGTCACTTTTTGACCCTATAAAGTTGAGAATGAAAAAGGAAAAGAGTCCAAAAACAAGGAGTCAGCTCTATAGAATTGAGGGTCATGAGTCTGTGAAAAGCTGCGAGCATTGAGGATTTTGCTCTATAAAATGCAGGTCCTGAGGTACCGTCGAACAGGTGTTTTTCAATAGGAGTGAGAAAAGGGGTCTCTATAGAATCAAGGTACAAGGTTCTGAAGAACACATAAAAATGCAACTGTCCAGGAAGGCATTGATTTCCCAGTTGGTAGGACCACAAATTTATAGAGAAAAAAAGGGTGTCATGGACAGGTAAGGGTCTGTGAGTTTATAGTGTCCAAAGGTCGTCCAAGAAACCATTCCCCAGGGTTCTTTTGAGCAATCCCAATTGCGTACTCTTGGAATCAGGCGAGCTTTGAACTCGAACAATTGAAGAACAATATCAACCTCTACAGAATTGCAGTCCCTGACATGCAAATCCATGCTAATAATTCTATTGAATCAGATCCACTGCACCATCACTTCAAAACCTCTATACTCTAAAGAATCGAGCTTGTAAAAAACAGCAATTCCCTATAACATCGAGAAACTTCCAGGTTGGTACTTACAAGCCTCCATGTTAACCAAGAAAATCTGGCTAGCACAATCGCTTTCTAGGGGTCCCAACCCCCACGATTTTGTAGAGGAAATTCCAACCCCTATGTATATTGTATATTTATACATGTGCTTCTGTGGATGGTGGATGAGGGTGACCAACCCCCAGGAAGTAGATACCAGAGAAAGCTGAGATGTGAACACATTCAAACAGCTAACTTGGTCTTCGATCGCGCGATGTGTTTGTGGGTCAGTTCCCAATAGTTCACGGTCTGAAAGGCAAACCAGGTTTGTCATGATTTTCTGGGAACCCCAGATGTGAAGTTTGGTTGCGCACGGCCCAAGTTGACTCAGACCCATTTGACATGCCTAGGGGGAACCCTAGGTCCGCTAGGAAGGCGTCAACTACACTGGCTAAGGCAAAGACCGAAGAAGGTGGCTGGCGAGACTTGGAAGGCACGGCGTTTGTTATGTTTGGAGGGGTTTATGCGTATGTCATTTCAAGTGATCCAAAGAAACTGGCAGTGACTCGGTAACTGGCTATACATACATGCATTCTGGTATTCTGTAGCCATTCAGCCACCTAGATTCTTAAGTGTCCACAAAGTTGTACCAGTGATTGCGAAGTTCATTTTTCGAATCACCAAGATGTCCATGAAGATATTTCGACAACCTTAGTCTGTTCCTCCAAACCAGCACAACAATTGTAGAGATGTTGAAAACTCTTTCGGTTGCGCCCAATATCAAGAATCATTGACCACCACGTCATGCAAGTCCTAACCCTTAAATGCAAGTGTGCGCACCTGCTTGCATGCTCCTTCACAGGTGGGGAACCCTCCTCAAGTCAACTGTGCTTTTTGGTTTTCCACGGGTATCGTGGTCTCTCTCCCTCTCCCTCTTGCGCTCTCTGCTTGCCTGAAACTCTCATTCCACTGGTAGAGAGCTCGGACATTTAAGACATGAGGGTTTCAAGTTTTTGAGGAGGCACAGCGATCGTTCGACTGGTCAGGCCAGGCCGTTGGGCCGTGGCAGGGCCATGCTGGGGGCTCTCGGTTCGCAGAGCAGCACAGGAGCTCATTTGGGGGGGACGGTGGAGAGGAATCGCTTCAAGCTGCAGAACCCATGAATACCTGAAAAGTCCTGAAGAAACATGGGGAGCTGAGTAACTGGAGCACTCCCCCAACTACTTCGGCTTTTCCTCCATATGGCGATTTGTCAGTCAAGCCACAGTTTCTGGAGCGCATATTTACAATTTTGTGACTGGGTTGCTTTCTTTTATTCCCTGATTCCAAGGTTTCTGTGGGCTTCATTTCCACCCCTTATCAATCTTCATTTGCTAACTTCCCGAGGCTGCACAAAATCCCAAAGATTGACGCAGCCCTGCCCTGTCCCAATTATGTACATGTACAAAGTTCTTTCTCAAAGCATTGCTGGTGGTTGGTCTGAGTTTTGTTTTCCGAGAAACTTAGAATCTCAGGTTCTGGTTGAGCGAACTCATGGGAACGATGCTGTTCTTCGCTTGCACCCGAACAGCCCAGCTCATTTGGCCCAGACATGAGCTATGGGAAACTGTTGATGCTTGGAAATCAGGTAACCATCATTCGACTCAACACATTGTTTTAGCATGTTTTAGCCAGACCTGTTATCCATGTCTCGTGCCCAGGCCCCCACCGCTACAAAGGCACCGCAGAGTTGGAAGATTTGGTGACATCCTGTATTGAAGTTCACAATGAGCTTCGAGCTCAAGGATGTTTCGAGAAAAAGCTTTTCCACCACGGACCACAACGGTTTTGGATTCATTCACGGAAAGTCCTTCAAGTTCATGGCCTCTAGAAATTTGTCACCACAAACTGCTTGGAGGGCATCACTTGCATGCTCTTCGACACCTTTGGGCCAAGACCTCAAATCCAATTGAGATCAGTTTGTTCGGTCCGCTTGCTGCTCTGTTTGTTTTAAGCAACAAAAGGAAGCAGATATTTCTGCTTCAACAAGGGTGAGTCACAACGCTCTGATTATATACATCCTATGGACTTTTTGCACAGGGAAGTACAGGAATATCTGTTGTTGTGGGTGCTGAGACTTGACCCACTCACACCAAGGACCCCTCCGTGGGAAAGCAGAAGGCTCTACACTGGGCTCTGGCCTGAGTGTTTGAGGAGTGCGAATGATTTGCTGCAGTGCCTGAGACCATCCAAAAGTACACAGCCAAGTCGTTTGTCGCGAGAAAGGTGCTGAGTCAGGCATGCCCTACATGAGCCCCAACGTAATTTTCGGAGTTTCTCGACTCTTCCTAAGGCCGTTTGGGTCAACTTGGGACATTTCAGGTTTGAGACCTGTTTCTGCCAATCTGAGATCAGGTCTTGGCAAGAAGGAGTCGCAAGGCACTTAGATTTGCACGTCAAATGCCGGGAGGACTATCAAAGCCACGCTGGGTCATGGGCAGTTCTTTGGAGCCTTGTGAATGGTGATCCCAAATGACCGAGAAGGGAGAGCCTGTGGTATCCGGAAAGACTGTAGACTGCAGAGAAAGCCAGCTGACATGGGAGACATCACCAAATGCTGTCTAAATGGGTCCACACGATACCGGAAAGAAAACCCCTAGGTTCGATGTTGGGAGCTTTCGAAAGGAGAGCCCGGCAAGCGCAGGGCTTAGCAAGTGGAGGAGCATTTCTTTAATAGGTCTTCTTTTTGATTCTTTTTGTTTCGTGCCCTAGGGATTCTGTGCAATTGTGTGTTGGTCTTTGATGTTTTTATTATGTCGACATTTTTTCTCATGTTGATTCTATATCCATTTGGTCTTCACAGATGTTTCTTTCAAAAGTAGGCGTGCCTCCTTCTCCTTTTTTGCAATCACCTGGTCTTTCTCAGCTTTCAAGTCGCCACTCCATATATTGTCAAGACATCCGCTTAACTTGTTCATCGATTGTTGGAAAAAAGCAAGCAAAGGTATCAAAAGGTTTCTAGTTTCCCTGCGCTTCGCTTCTTGCCTCGGTTTCAAAGGTACACAGCCACAGGAAGACCAACTCGTCGGACCCGTTGCTGAGGACAAAGCCTCCACCTCGTTTGGTGGGTGAAATTGCCTGGGCCCAAGGGAACCTGCTGGGCACAAGGCAGTTGGAAAGATTGTTTTCAGAGGAGCTTAAGCAGCTTTGCTGCCGGTTTGTAATTTTGCGAGAGGATGTGACAGACAGCTCTTGTGATGTGAAGTGTATCCTGGTTTTTGTGTCGTGCTGTGCACATGAACATACCAGCATCGTGATTTCACCAGAGTCAGCCTTGGAGTGACGTTGGAACGCTTGCAGTTGACCTGTCCATGTAGAACATCGGCTTCTTTTCCTACACACACATCATTGTATTGTCACGGCAAGCACGTTTATTATGGTTGAAGGTATGGGTAAGGTTGCGGAAGGTTCTAGATGTTCATACAGCATTTGGTTCTGCATTCCCCGGTTGCCATAAACCACTATAATGTTAAAAAGAAAGAGCAAGTCTGATGTATACTGTGTACTAATAATATGATCCAAGATGAATGATTGTAGAGTTCGGCCGTAAATTGCAGCCTGTGGAGCAGATGTAGATATCCACATGCCTAGCATCTGCCAAGCAATGCCTCTCTCACTAACCAAACCTAGCAGGCGCTTCGCATTTCAAAACAGGCCGTGGGTGGATTCATCAATGATGTTGCGGCCATCTCGCCCTTTGGCCTTCTGACCGTTTGGGGCTCAGATAGTTCAAAGAGAGTAGGACCAGGATGGAGTCCCGAAACCGGATCAAGCTTGCCCAGCTGTGCAAGAACTGCTTCTTATGGACGAGTCACAGCTGGGCAGAGTCCGCCCAAGACTCTGCGCCTTTGCGCCTGCCTTCCCGTGAACTGATGGCGTCTCTGACGCGTCTCCGCATGTTTCTTTTTTTTTTGCAGCGTGTTCGATCCGAGGCGCAATCCGCTGGCATGAAGCCATTGCCTGGGGAGTCCTTGAGGTCTTGGAATTTGAAGACCACTCCGTTCAGGCCGGACCCTTGGGAGAAGTGAGAAGGTATAATATATATATATATATACTTATATATATATAGCCGCATTTTTTTTTGAGATGTGAGGATTTCTGGTAGGTTGGTCTGGAGTCTGGTGCCATTTGTGTCACGTTGATGTGAGCTGTGAGCTCAGTGAGCTCTTAGCAACGAGCTCCTGCTCCTGCCTCCTCTAACACTCTGTCAACTAGAGTGGAGTGGGATGTGAATGCTTATTGATTGAACAGTTGTGGGTCTTTGAGGCAAACCCATAGGCTGCAATCCTGTAGTTCATGGGCAGACTCGTGCAAGATGTCCATTTTGTTTGGCCTTAACAGTACCATTCGTAGCTAGCTGGCTACATAGCACGGCAGATGGCTGGATTAGCCCGTTTGTTGCAGTGAATTTACAAGACTTCTTTTGCCTGTGAAAAGTGCTGCTGTCCTTCGAGACCCGGGGGTCATGTTTTTCGTTTTGTCTAGTTAGAACGTACGCAGGCCCATCGTCTGGCACTGAGCTGTTGCTTTGTGCCTTGGGGCGAGTCTGCTCCTTTGCAAGATCTGTGGCACCAAAGGCACTAAAGCCACTAAAGAGCGGAAATCAAAGGTCTGCTCTATTTGTCTATTTTTGGTTTGGCCATTCAGACCAGCAGAGACAACGTGGTGATTTCAAGAATTCAACGCAGAATTCTTGGGGTCGGGGCTATGCTGACTTTGCAGCGACACCAGCATGAGGTGACCTACCCATCAATAAAAAATGATCCTTTATATAACCTTTATACCTTTGTTGGGGCTGAAAGAGGTCCTGAATGGGCCCCCTTTCCATGCAAGAACGATTTCTAACACGTAAATCCCCGACGATCAGAAGTCTCAGTTTCTGTTTATTTCTTTGTAGAGCTTCCTACACTGGGGAGCTCAGTTGAGCCCTTGGGCTGATACTTCTGAGGCTCGAGCGAAAACCAACGCGATCGCCACAACCTGAGCACAGTCAAGCCATCAAACCCGGTCGTCCAGGGAACATTGGTCGACCGGCGACCGGACCCTTGAAGTTACCAAACGCGCTGTAGATCAGGCCGATGATCCAGACTCCAAAGCTGTGGCCAGCGAGCCTTGTTTGTGATACATCTGAAGTCTGAGGAGAGCTATTTTTTGTCTGGCCTGATCGGCAAAAACATGGCTTAGACTTGCTGGTGAAGTTGGGCTGTACAAGCTAATTGCTGATCACTGTATACGTTTTGATTTGCACGAGATTGGTCTGGCAGGTGCCCTCTTCCAAATCAGGCATGGTGCAGACTCCAAGTAGCCCATGTTCACATTGACTTCTCTTGACCCAGAGGCCCAGAGGTGCTGAGTTAGGAACCAGTGAAGACTTCGTAACATGCTTCACATGTCATGAGGAACGGTGAGGTGTGACGCCATGGAGAGTTGCCCGTTGCTTTTCTGTGTTTTTGTAGGGACCTTGGAACTGACGTGCCAGAAGCAGGCAACGGCTCCAGCGACACCACCATCGTTGCAAGGCAGGGGTATCAACTGCTACAGCTGGCGGATTTGCCATGTTATACAGATGTCTTCCTTTCCTGCATCTTGGGGCAATTATGGCCGCCGGCCACATGGCGAATTTAATTTTCCCCAAAGATCTTGGCACCTGAGTGGCAGCTCAATGCCTCGTCCACCCAGTGAAGCTGAAAGACGCTCCATTTTTGTTTGGTCAGATCGTCAGGAAAGAGGAGGAAGAGCCAGAGTTTGTAAAGGATGAAGATGGCGGCTATTTGGACAAGCACCGTCCTTACAATGGAGAGGAGGGATTGCATCGAACCGCTCAGCCATCTCAAGCGACGAAGCGCATTTGAGGTCCACAATGATTTATTTGCACTACAGAGGCCCTGCTGGGTGGCTGGGCTTGCCAAGTGAAATTGATTGCAGAGGTCTGAAAGTCACACACAGTGAGAAAAAGAACTATGTCGATACATTCATAGGGGTTTTGTTTCATGCATTCGACCAAAAGAGCGGTTTTCCCAACGAAGTCAGAGGGGGTAAAGGATCTTAAATTGTTCATTCACCTTTTGGATGCATTCAGGGCAAGCTATAGTGAACAAGTTACTGAGAAGCCAACGTATGAAGATTCGATGAAGAAGCTCAACCAGCCTTCCTGCCTGTATTTCCTCCAGCAGAGCATACCGGAATTGAAGTATCATTAGAGCCTGTGTGGCCTGTCCCTGTTCAAGAGTCCAAACCCTTGACGTCTGCACTACTTGGGCCACTCTCGGGGATGTCGGCAGGCGTTCGATGCATCAGCCTATGGCCCAAGCCGGAGAACCGAGAGGCCACTCCACACGTGGCAGCCACAGTGTCCAAGGCACGGGGACGAAGGGGGCGGAGAGACGACTTCAAATGCTCCGGGCCATAGGGTAGCTAGATCTTAGTCCTAGTCTAGTATGAATGGATCAACATTTTAGACGCTGGTATGGCCAGGTTGGGCAGAACATGTTTCTTCTTCTAGTTGTTATGTTTATTACCAAGTTTGCACCATTATAACACCCTCTTGGGCCCGTGCGGATTTCTGATCTTCGAAGGTGTCTCGAGAGATCATTCAAGCGCAGGAAGAAAACCGTTGTAGGCGCAGCTCACCCAAAGCAACCCCCTATGTGCTCATGCGCATTCTAATGCTCGTGCTCATGCTCATGCTCTTGCTTGCTCGCTTGCTTGCTTGCCTGCGTGCTTGCTTGCCTGCGTGCTTGCTTGCTTGCGTGCTTACTTGCTTGCTGGCTCGCTCGCTTGTTACCCAGATAGTTGAAAGCTAGAGGGGTTCTTACTGACTTCTCAATGACTCGGTGGCTGATCTGCGTTTTGGTCCACCGCTGCCGCTGCTGCCTTGTCTCCCCACTTGTTTGCCTGTGCAATCGGCGTTTTGTTCACCGTTGGTGCCTTGTCCCCTTACGTATCTTCCGATTTGTCCCTTCACTTGTCTGCCTGTGTGATAACCGCAATTTCGCCACAGCCTTAGCCCATTTAGTTCTACGCGCCAAAGCTCGCAGAAAGGTCACAAACTGCAGTTTCGACACCCGTTGAAGTGCATCTCCGCTTGTATGTCCGTGCTTTTAGAGCTGCTTGGTATTAGGGGTCTATGTCGGTGCTTTTTGCTTTATCCTCTAGAGGCTGTCCAATTAATTCCAAGTATTTCTTGAAGCTTTGATGGGTACTCATTGAAACTTGAAACGGATTGTTGAGTGAATCGCAGGACGTGCTAGCTGTGTCTGAGATTGGAATTGATGGAGTGAGTCTTCAAGTTCCCGAGCTTTGGAAGAGGACCGATCCACATGCAGCCAGGCTGCACAAGACTGTTTGGACATTTCTTTTCGCTTCTGTTGCTCTGTCATTAGAAGCTTAGTGGACCAGCTTGTTTAATGGTTTTCACTTGTCCCCATTGTCTCCAGCCAACTAGATCCATACTCCCGGTTCAATACCTTACAGCAGGAAGGTTGCAAATGGCTCTGAAAAGATGATGCTGATCTACCTTTTTAGAACAGCCTAAGCATCGCGCACGGCCTGAGGAAGGTGTGGGTGATGTGAACGTCCGGCAGCCAAGACTCCGTGCGTCTGTGGCCCTGGACCACAGTGCTCAAACGAAACTTGAAGGAACCTTTGGTGCAACTAGCAAGCCATTCAACACTTCCGCATGGTCTTGATCCAAGTCTGAACATTTGCAAAGGTGCACTTAGGTTAACTTAGGTTGACCCCCACCGTTGAAGTGGATTGAGTGATGTTTACATGATTACTGTCACGTGTTTTCACATGTTTTCACATTCAACCACTATTTTCCCAGTCATTTCACCTTGATCCAGGCCATGCAGCACGAGTCTGTGAACAAGCTTTGGACAGGCGACAATGGTGGAAACCTCCGCTGCTGGGACGTGCTGCCGGCAGAGATTGAACCGGAAGACACGAGTGAGAAGCTTTTCATAGATGAGATGTTTTGCATATTCTTGCAAAACCTTTTGGTATGTTTCCTTCCTCTTTGGACCCTGGCTGATGCGGTCTCTTACAATTTCCCTCACAAGTGCAAGGAGTGGGAAAGGGACCATCGCAATTTGACCAGCTTCTTCCACAACGGTAGCGCTGAGGATTTTTTCGCATACAGGAAAGTGCAGACTTGCATATTATGGATGTGCTAGAAGCGAGACCTGTCTTAGAGTCTAAGTCTGGAAACCAAGTCCATCACCACCAACCAAACCCACCGTTTGCAGTAACCCAATTTCAGACAGGAGTGTGATTCTGCCAGGTGAACGCAACTGGCAAGGGGATTGTTTGCGACTTCAACAGTGCCTCTGACATCACAATGGGATGGGTTTGCTAAGATTGCTGTAGCTAGAAACTTCCTCAAGCAGCAAGTATCTTGATTGAAATGGAAGACATAAACATCCCTCCGGGTCGGACACTGAACGTGTAGTGGTGTGCATTTTTGAATATGAGGGAGTCACCCAAACCACAAGAACACTGTAAAAGCCCACGTGTTTTATGTCAGTGGGCCCTACAAAATTCAGTGTTTTGTGGTAGAATTGACATGTTTTGTTCTTAATTCGGGGTCTCTTTTCGTGACTCCTTTCTTCGGAAAAGTGGAAAAAACTATGAACAACTATAGGAACGGCGCCGAACAACTCGCGCTCTTTTTTCCTGCGTCTTCACATGTCCTGAGACTTTGGCACGAAC